CATGCCTTATTTTAGTTGTGATGCTTCTGACACAGATAAAGAAAGATTGTGGGCTGTTGTTACATACAAATCCTGTGTTATGGTTTAACTATGGGTAGTTAACCTTGAGCAACCCAGGAAGAGAACTTGAAATATATTGTTAGATTTTGAACTCTGGCTTGTTTGTGGTTAACAACTCATATTTAAACTGTAGAGCAGGGTTCACATGAAATGAGAATCCATGATTCAGTAAAAACCATGATTCAATGACAACCCATACTCAATCTGTACTCTGGGTTGCTGGTGTGAGAATCAGGTCAATGTGTTTGGTTCCCTTCAGGTAGTTTGAAATTAATACATACAGCCCACTCCTCAAGCTCAGGAATTTAACATTCTTCCTCTAAATAATACTAATTTGCAATGAAAAGATAGGGTCCTTTTCTGCCTATGCATACCCTTTTCTTCTTCTGTTTTATATTTCAATTTTAATATGAGTTTCACCAAAACAAAACTAAATCTAATGGGAAAAGATATGTAAACTACATAAATGTAAAGATGCCTATTATACATAAACTTTAGTAAAGGCAAACCCATGTAAGTGCTCATTTGAGCATAATGTATGTCATCCACTCAAATATTGAAAGTGTTCTCACATCTTTAATCCATTGTATTATAAGAGGTGAGCATTTCCAGTATCATAGTATCATTCTTTTAGCTGTCAGAAGGGCATGGAAGATCCAGCTATGTTGACCATGCTTTTACTTCCAAGAAACAAGTAGATAATTTATTCTTATATTTACAACCAATTTTTTTCCTCTTGTGAGGAACTCAAGATGGCCTCCTTCTTTCTGTGTCATTCCCATAACAACCATATGAGGTAGATTTGGTTGAGAGTCTGTGACTGGCCCAAAGTCACCCAGTGGGATGTATGACTGAGTGGGGATTAGAGCCCTGATCTCCTAAGTCCCAGGTCAATACTCTAATCGCTATAGTTTATCCATATTGTAACTTCCTCCCAGAAAAGGCCAATTCCCTGAGAACTTCAGAAATTGGGGCGTATAGAAATGAAATAAGCAAGCAGACTTATTACTAGACTGCCAAACATGAACATGAGTGGTATTACACCTCCTTATTAAAGAGATATTCTAGCATCCAATAAATGCAAAGCAGCATTTATTGATGGTTAAAGTTCGCTTGGAGAAGTTTATGGAGAAGAATCCTGCTTTTATTTATTTATTTTGCTTTTGAGTGGTAAGCACAGGCAATCAGCCATAAGCTACATGATGAACAGGTTGTATAACACTGATTTACAAGCTGACACATGGTATATTATGAATTCATTAATTGCTGATTACAAATTAACAAGTAAGCCAGCCCCACTTCTTCAAGCTTATAACAGCTGAATTCACAACTACAATACAAGATTGGAATCTCTGCATTGTGTATGCATTTGATTTGAATTTGAGATACATGTGTTCCACTTTGAACAATAATGAAAAAGAAAATTGTGGGTTTTTTATGTGGGAGCGACCCAGTTTGTAAAACCCAAGCTAACCCTTTGTATAAGGGTACATTTTGCACACCAGGGAACCTCCTGCAGGACATTTTCTTGGCATACAAAATATATTGCTTCATTTTTTTTTCTTAGTCATATGCCTTGTACCAAACTTACTCATTCTTTGACTATTCTTCCCAATATTTTCATATAACTCCATTATTAGGAATCTTCATTCTTCTTATAGTTTTGTACCACTCAAGAAGTTATGTGTTCATCATCATCATCATCAGCATCATCATCAGTTTTTGTCACTGGTTTAGCTATATGGTCAAATGTTTTTAAAGCAAACCTACTGCTTTAAGTTCATAGTTAAGATTACTACATATTGGCTCAAGTTCCACAAAGCCAGTTCCAGAGGACTGGGAGCTTAAACTGAAGCCTGTTTGAAGGGCCCAGCGATCACTAAAGATGTTGTACAATGTCACAAACTGTGCTTGCCTGCAACTTGCCCTCCATGCACACGCACTTTTCCTTGGTCTTTCAGGCCCAAATCCAGATGGAGAGGAAGGAGTGCCTGGGACCAACCAAGAAGCCCCATGTTGTCCTGGTCCTGAATTACCTTTTGAAGCATCTGAGCCTTACTGTATTGCTAGAGGAATCCTCCTGTGAGTTGACCCATGATGCTTTGTTGCTTGTAAACAAGCACAATTTGGGACATTGCACAAGGTCATTTGTGATCATGGGGCATGTCTGTTAAAGCTAGTCTAAGCTTCTAGTTCCCTGGCTTTATGCTGCTTGAGCCAACATGAGATATTCTTAACTCTGGGCTTAAACCACCAGTCTCTTGTTGCAAATTGATTTATCCTGGTTTTTAAAAAAGAATCCTATTATTGCAGTGTTCTTGGAAAAAAAAACAGGTTGAAGTAAAACAGGTGATGCATTCAAATAGATATGTTCCTGTATGTTCAAGAAAGCTTACTTTTGCGTAAGCCTACACAAGATTTCAGCATGGCCTTTTCCTTTCTTCCCCCTCTTCATCAGTGAGAGTAACTCTCTCACTCTTCAGAATTACCTCTGAGTAGACAGTTCTCTGCTACTTGCTCCTCACTGTCAAAATGCTGGCAGGAACAGTGGCATTCCCAGCACCAAAGTACTGGCAGCATTCTTGCTTCTGGGTGAAACTGAGCATGCCTGGCATAATTTTGCCAGCAGTTGCTTCCATAGGCTTTCATCATTAATTTTTGAACAGTGGCTCAGAATTTCCCAAGATTAATGAAAGACAAACCTTTTCAATAAGTATATCAATAATTTGCCCTAGAATTTGAAAGAATGTATGATATGCCTTGATGCAGCTTTAGTAAAAATGCAGATGTTTCAATGTTCAACACTTTAACTTGTGTATCTGTGGCAATTTGTAGAAGATCAGTTTGAAAAAGTGCATGATTTCAAGATAGTAGCTCTACGGTGTCATGTTTCAGTAGAATTTTGAGATATAAAATTGTGGAAATTTTGAACTAAAGGGCATTCTTTTGTCCTTTTAATCTCCCTGTCATTGTCATTGTTAGCAAGAATGGAATTGGAAAAGATGGCTTTCTGCTGTTTGTGGGAGTGAGGACAGCGGGTAGCTTACGGCCTTCTGTATTTTGGCGAACAAGTTGCTTACCTCTGCTATGACCCTTGAAACATGATGATACAGTAGCTTGGATTGTGGTACACATGGTATCCAAGTGATACGTTGTGTTCCTTGCAAGAAGAAGAAGTATAATGGTGTTGCTATTTTCTCCTCTGGCTCTTCTTTAGTGACCTGTTTTTATGGTATACATAAGTACATAATCACTGACCCTGTTTAGCATAAGGAATACAGTATGTTCATGGAATACTGCTTTGCCTTCAGCCTCTTGGAAAGTAGGCAAGTCAGATGATTTCTCAAACATTTATTCATTCTTTTTCATCTTGGGTATACGTGCCAAATAACCAGAACAGGGAGGTAGAAGTCCAATTCAAGATCACCTGGAAGTCACGCATTAGGCCAGAATACCTGAACTTTAGGAGAGGCCAAGTGGATTGGTGGTGCTCTTTCCTACCAACTGCTGGAAAAGTAGCTCCCTGGCATTTGTCATGCGCATGTAATGTATAGTTAGGCACAAAAGATTCAGTCAGATTTCATCTGCCCTATCCCAAGGGTAAGAACAGAACCCGCTGATAAAACTCATCTACTGTAGAGGAATGGAGAACATTGCTTCATTCTCTTCATCTCTTATTCCATATGAAATGACAGGTGGACTGAGTGGGTGCAATGTGAAAATTAATGTGGAGAGGATTGGTGACTCAGCATTGACTGTTAAAGTCAAACAATCTCTTCAAACATTTTGGCACATGGTTTCTTTCCAGTTTGCCTGGAGATTGCAGTAGGCCATTTGTGGGTGGGACTGGGTAGGAAGAGGGGGCAAGAGGAAGACGCTGCTGCTTACTGTCACAGAGGAGGATTCTTAAAGAGGTCGATCTGTAAATTTATTCAGAAGAGCAGAGAGGAGAAAGTGTTGAATGCAAATATGTTTCATTTTAAGATTATTTATTTTTATAATTAAACAATTTCCCATTTTAACCGTTGCTGTGCAGTTCTGCATGCAGCTCACACCTTCTTTGCTGATGGAAGGTTGTTTTGAATAGTAAAACCATATGCTGATCCAGTTGAGAATTACACATCTTGATTGTTAGGGGGAAATTAACATTAGCCTGTTAATCTGTACTCATTTAAGATCTATGATTTTTCTTGGATTTGTTTTGATTTTTACAGAATAAACAATGTCTGGGCTTCATTCCAAGACTTACAGCCAAATCCTGTGTAGGTTTACTCCAAAGTGAATCTTGCTGTATCTAGTGAGATAGAAAACCCAAATACAGAGGAACTTGTGGGCAAAAGATTGTGATGTTAGTCAATGCAGTGATTTACTTCCAATCTGTACTTGCTTGGAACATTGATTATGACAGTACCACATCTGTGTCAGGCATTACATTGAAGAGGTTGTATAAAAAGCCATCGCTTCTTTTAAATAAATGCTACAAATTCACAATGGGCTAGATATGCTCCTGTTGGTAGTAAATGAAAATTGAAGGGATTAGTTCAGCTTACCATTGTAGTGAGTATATAAAGGTTTAAAGCAATGGACATGACCTCTCCCTGAATAATGCAGCCCAAAGGAGAGTAAACTAAGGTACATATTGTAAATTGACTTAAACAATTAATTAAGGCAAGAATAAACAACAGCTTATTAATGAACAACAAACCCCAATTTTGTTGCTACAGGAAAAATGGGTGGTAATCTATCCACCCACACTTCATGTTTCCAATGAAGGTAGTGAGACTGTTAAACCAAAGTGCGACATTCGTTAACTAATTGTGATTCCTGAAAGGTATCTGATAGCTTTTTCTGTCCATCTGCCAATGTAGCTTTTGTAGCCACAGCAAGAGGTGAGGAGTAGACCAGGCTGCTTCTCTCCTGATGGTTTTACTTGCATTCTTGAAGGTCTTCCAGAGCCAGTGGTGATGGAACCATTGAATGGAAGTGATGAAGAACAGGACCAGCAAAGTGAGAAAGAACCAACTCAGAAAGGCTCTGAGGAGGCTCCGCAGCATAGCTGGGTGGCCTGGTGCGATGGCATGACAGCAAGAGGAATAATCTATCTGTTCGCCTTATTGCAGATATTGGTAAGGATTCAGATTTAATTCAGGTGGAGTTTGTTTGTTCGTTCGTTTTAAGGGCAATGCTGCTTTCATATATATTCATGCATTTTAGGGGCCAGATTTCCCAAGTCATATATGCTGAAATAGACAAAATGAAATCAAAACTTGTGCCCTATTACAAACAGGTACAATCTACTTGTCTTTCTATTCTAGTTAATTTATGCAGCCTGCAAAATACCCAATTCTTAAAATGCAAATAATAAATAACAAATAATGCTTTTAAAAACTCTGCAGTTGGCTATGCAAATTTGACATTAAAATGAGAAGCTTATTTTCTTGGGGATGAAAGCTCATTATTAATTATACAATTGGCTGCACAGGTTTTCTTCTTTATGTTTTGGTGCGGTGGCTGTGAGACAATTCCAGAAGTTCAGGATGCTTTTGATGTGTTGTGCACCTTCTTTACTCCGTTTGGACACTTGATTACAAATTCTAGCAAGGTATGTTCAGTGGTTTCCTTATTGTTTAATGTAGCTTATTGTTTAGTCATCTTGAGTAATGTAGCATTGAGTGAAATCTAAATAATGCATACAACACTTACGTTAGTGCTGGCTATACATTGTAGAATCCCTGGTTCAGAACTTAAACGAACTGAGCAATGTATTGAGCACTACCTCTGTGCCACATGAGCGCTACAGAATTAACACTGAAATAAATGGAGGTAGTGTAGTACTTCTAGCTAAGCCCACTTAGCATCTCTGCTGTCAGAAAAAATTAAGTAAATGAAACAATCCATTTTGAGAGTGTGTCTTGTGCTGTTTTCCTCCCTTTAAACCAAAAAGAGCTTTGGGGAATATGGATATAGGATATTATACTTTCCTGAACCTGAAAAATGCAGGTGGATATTCTGATTCCACGTATCAATATCTTAAGTTACAGGAACAATTATTCTTTTGACATGCTTTACTATACCTAGATAACACCTGGATTATATCAGACTTGTTATATAACGGGTAATGGGTGTTTGCCAAAATTAGCCTTTTGGCAAAAAACCCCATAGCACAATGGCAACCTATCCTTAAAATATGATCACTTGGTATTTCTTGATGATACTTTCCAGCGATTTCAGGGCTGGATGTTTAGGGGCCTCTATGAGCAATATTCACCCCAGCTTTTCCCTTTCCCAACCTCTTGCCGGCTTTTCCCTGGACTGGATGCGGCTCCATGCCGGGGATTCATCATCATGATCCCTTCGTTCGTCTAATATGTAGCAATATTTGAGAGCAATACTGCTGCCGAGCTCTCTGCCATTGTGGGCACAGTTGTACTGTCTCTCCATGCTATAAAAAGAGCACTGGCAATAAGGGTTACATGGCTAGTGCAGCAATTCACTTGGCCTTTCCCTTTTGAGCTTAAAGAGACGTTGCAGCAGCTGCTGCAATGGGCAGGAGCCAAGGGGTGCTACAGTGCGGCCCTCTGGATGTGTGTGGAGTGAAAGACAGCAAGGATGGAGTCTCTTCTCCATGTAAGGCTTTCATTTCTCTCACAAGGTCCCCCAGGTGTGATAGAACCTGGTGTGATGGAAAGAAATGGACTATAGGTAACTGCCTCTGTGCATAAAGTGGGGATCCCAGATGTAGAAGCAGCGAAGATCCAAACTGGCATGGGGATGAGGGAGGAGTAGGAGTCATTCTCTCTCAACTGGGGTGGGCCTGAAGTATGCAGAAAATTCCTGCCTAAAAACAACAACTCCCACCAAAACCCCACCTGAGGCCTGAGGGTTGTGCATCTGTGCAGCCTTCATGCTACTCTAAGCTACCGAGAGCAACACTCGTGGACTTGCACTCTTAGTTGTCAGAGCTGGGAGCTGGTCTGAAGGGAAGCCACTAAGCTTAAAATGATGGGTGAGGGTGGGAGGTTCCATCCCCTAAGACATTCATCCTCTGATCTCACTTACATCCCATGCCAATCCTAACTGAGGGTGACTGCTTCTTCATGGTCTGAAGGATGAAGGGGCTAGTATTGGCCTTGGAAGACAATTCAGTTTGCTCCCTCCTTCAGGCCAGGGTAGCCTAGAACTTATGAGGAAGGGAAGATGGATAGAGCTCTCCTCCCTCTCAGGGAATCCCGGTCTTGTCCTCATTGCCCAAGTCCAAGAAGAGCCCCTGCTATGACTTCGGAGAAAAACCATGGAGAGCTAGCAGCATCCATGCACCCTTTCAGTGCCCAAAGCCATCGCTAGGCCTGGACAGCCACCATTGCAGTCCCTTTGTTGATCTAAGAAACATCTCCATGGAGCTGGCTTTGAGGGCCAAACAACTTATTAACAAGTCACATAGAATATAGCCAAGCCTTCTAATTTATTTGTGTGTAGGTTTGTATCAGGACCACACTGCTTTGGCCAGGAGTGATTGCATCTTCCCACAACCATTTTTCTCACCATGTTCAGAGGTGGGGGTGAAAAAAGAGGGACAGCCTCCATTGACTCCAAGCCCCTCCCTCCCTCTGCACCATGCATGGCTCCTTTAAAGATCAGGCTGAAACCCAGACTGGGCAGTTACCTCAACAGTATCCATTCTGGACTCATCACAGCCCCTCCTGTCAGAATTATCTGTACATTTTACACTTTCAAGGCTGTAACCTTAAGCATGCTTTCTTGGAAAGAAATCCTTTACAGTCAGTGGAACTTACATTTAAGGCAAGTTAATTCACTAGTGTAATTGATCTAGAAAGTTGGATGCATAATAGAAAGTTGGGTGTGCTTAAGGTTTGTTGACCTAAGCAGCCTTATTTGGATTGCACATCATCATCATCATCATCTCCCTCAGTAGCTGAAGATGGCTTACAACAATTATAAATACAGTAATAAAAATGGATGCAAAAAAATATAGATACAATAAAACACAGTGTTAAATTGCAGTATACAAAATTCAAAGGAGAGAGTCGAAGTTGCCTGGCCAGTCAAGACATTACTGAACCCAGATTCGTCTAATGCCTAATTCTTTTTACTGGCCCTGCTGTTCATTTCCCCTTTGGGCTTCAGCTTCCTTTGTTCACCTAACGATGATAAAGTCTAAATATTACAAGTACTTATATTTGCTTCAGACAAGTGGGATTTTTATGTAATCTTTTAAATTAGATTCATTATGCATAATCAAAAGCTCCTTGTGCAGCATGAGGCATTCGGATTATGTACAACTGCATGTTATTTGCAATGAGTCAGTCCAGATCAGTTATTTCTCCTCAATACTGACTTTTGAGTTTGATTAAAACTAAACCTGTGCTTACGGATTTGGTAAAGAATAAAAGTCTTAGAAAAACTCATAGTGAGTTGATAATCTGTTACCTGGTCATCCCCCCTTCTTGATAATTGATGTGCTGTTCTGTACATAAGGAATATTCACAATTGAAAAGTAGGGCCCTGTATTTGTTTTAAAAATGAAAAATGAAGTGAACAAGCTCCCATTTGATCATATGCTTTTAACAGTAGATTTGAGCCACATACAGAGATTAAAAACAACACAAATTAAAGCAGCTGTAGGGGGTTTTTAATTGGACTGGAATTGTAGCGGAGGAGGAGCAAACTTTTCCTTCTGAGCCTTTTCATTATGTAAATTGCCCCATGAAAGTGTTATTTGTCATGCTTAGGGAAAACTCACAACAAGAAATCTCACAATGGGCCAAATCATAGCTTCAAGCGAAAACCAGTATGGGGGGATGTATTAACCTCCCTCCCTCCAGCAGAGTCCCAATCCAGTTTCTTCCTCCACGGCTGCATTTTAAGGCAGATGAGCTGATCATAGATTTCCAGTATCTCACCTGGTTTGGCTTTAAGCCATGGTATTAGGGACTAGAAGTATTAGGTTGCTGGCACCTCTGGCAACCCACAGTCTTGGTGGACTCTAAAGTCTAGTGGATTCTCACTGGGCCAGAAAGGAAGCACCAGGCTGAAGGAAGCATCTTGCCCACTCCAGTCCTTGAAAGGAAACTTCCATGAAGTGGTGGTAGGTCCATCATTTCTGGCAGGGTTGATGACTGCAGCTCTAAAATCTGGATGAGGACTCTGTTTGAATGGTAACTATTGTTTTAAAAATGTGAAAGGTTAGAAACAATCAAACATTTTGATTACTTGCCAAGGTATTAAATAAGAATTTATTTGAAAAATGAATAGGTCATTTCACAACAATGCTAGGAACATTATGTTGCATGCCTCTTGAGTTAACTGTGGGTTTGTATTGTTCTTCAGGATCTGACCAGAAGTCAGGACATTACAATATTCTACTTCCTGCTATCTCTGCTTTCCCTTAGCTTACTGCTCATAGGAATGCTGGTAAGCCTGTCTTGGATGCATTCAATTCTGTGAAATACATTGAAACCTTCAAAGTCCCTTAGAGTGTTCTGCTGGTGCAATTGGTGAAAAATAGTTTCTAATTGTCTAACAGGTCACACCAACATGATCTGAGCAAATAAACATTCTTAAGTATATATTGTGGTTACACTCTTCTGGGACACTGAACAACTGCAGTATTTTTCTTGGTATCCTGGCAGAAAGTGTATTTAAAAACCATTCACTAAGAATGGCAATGAATGTTAATACCTCTTTCAGTAAGAATGCTGGTGTGGGTAGTGCGATTAGCTTTGCTGTGCAGTTGCCTTTGCTTTTTGCTAAGACCAGATGCATTGTGCGATCAAATAATAAGCTTGTAGAGAGTGATGTACTAGCACATATTAAAGTGCAAAGGATGGATGTCTAAATTGATGGTGAACTGAATAAAATCCAGGTGCGGTACAATGAACCATTCCAAGCGGTGGAAAGCTAATCAGAATAAGCCCAGTGTGATGTCCCTGTTCTGATTAGTTGTACTGAATTTTCTGCCTGGTTCCCCAACCTGTGTTTCCCCCACTCAGTTTTAATTAAGAACAGCAACAAAGAAACAAAATACGGGCAGGGGCAATGTTTCCTCGGTGTGATTATAGCTATGTTGCAATGTTAACTGTTGTTAAGAAGTCATTTATGTGGCATAAAATTCATCTGTCAACCTGGCGCTCAGTTGATAAAAGGGACTGGATTATTAAAGTCGTCCAGTACGAAAACAGTTTGGTGATCACTCCCTTTACGGCACAGAGTTACAGTGGTACCTTGGCTCACGGACTTAATCTGTTCGACGACTCTGGTTGTGACCCAAATTGGTTGTGACCCAAGTCAAATTTCCCCATAAGATTCAATGTAAATAAGGTTAATCCGTTCTGGCCCCTCTGAATGGTTGTGAGCCAGTTTTTGGTCACGAGCCTAGTCAAATTTCCCCATAAGGTTCAATGTAAATAAGTTTAATCTGTTCTGTATCTATTTTTTATAATCAGAAAAATTTGAAACAAAGTGACAGAGAACAACAAAGTAACAAAGTACTGTACAGTACAGTGGAGAACGCTAACCTAGGTGGGGGGGAGGTTATTGTTTTGAGGGAGAGTCCCCCTCCATAAGGACATTGGGGAGATCCCTTGCAGGGGTTTCCTCTCTTCTTTGTCTCTCAGCTGCAGGGTCAATTTTGGTGAAAAATCTGTCTATAGTCACTTGTTTTCTCCTGCGCTGCATAACCCTCCGGAAATGAGAGACCACATTATCGTTCATCAGATTCAACACTCTGTTCGTTAGTTATGTTGGGGTGGTGCTTCTCAAAGAAACCCTGGCACGCATTCCATTTTTTCATAATGGGTGTATCACATCCCTGCTTACCTCCTCCCTGTCTTCCTCTTCCTCAGTGGACTCCTCCTCAGCAAGTGCCTTCTGCTGCTCACTCTGGAGTTCAGCAAGTTCTTCTTTCGTCAGCTCCTTTATGTCTTCCCTGCACAAACGCAACTGTGATCGTGGCCCTCTCCCCACTCGGGGGTGGGTGGGGAGATGGCTGCGCTCGTGCCGGTTGCGGGGGGGATATGGCTGAGATTGTGACCATCATTCCTGCATGAGCGCACCCATGATCACGCATGTCTTCCCTGCACGAACGCAACTGTGATCGTGGCCATCTCCCCACTCGGGGGGGGGGGGGAGGGGATGGCCGCGATCTTGGTTGCTACCCAATGCGGAGTTCGCGACCAATGTTCATGACATTTCAAAATGTTCATGAATTTTTTGTTTGTGACCCAATTTGGTTGTGAACCAAGGTGTTCGTGAACCAAGGCACCACTGTATTTCTGAAAGCCTCTTCTGTGAATCAGAATGCAGGTTTGACATACCCTGGTTAGAAGAATGTTTCTTTGCTATTATTCCAGACAAAAGGCAGTAAAAGTGGCAGACTGATGGTTATAGACTATCATTTCCAGCTGTTAGGGGTGTCTGTATGCCTATTTTGACCATCCCATTTGTGACTGACAGATTGGTATGGGAAGCTCCAAAGATTCTTGACAGTTGTAATATGAAGTCTAAAGTTGTCTGTACTGCCCTGATAACACTAAAGCTATATTGCATGAGGTTTAGCCCGTATGACAACAAATGCTGGATAGGAGAATGCCCTATTTGTGCAGGTGAGTGCACAGCTACAAGTTCCATTGATAGCGCAGAGCGCTCAGAATGCAATTCCTTTTACACTGGTGAAGTAGGAAGACCTCTTCTAGGAAGACGCAAGAGCATTTGGCTGATATGCCTAATGCTAGGCCTTGGTCTGTTCATATGAGGGAGAAACAAGCTGGCAGAGTGGCTGCAGTGGGGCTGCCTGTGCCAGCAGCTGGACCAAGCATCCAGAGGAGGAAGATGAAGGAGGCACTGTTCACTCATTAGCTGTAGCCCAATATTGGTGTCAAATATGATATGAAATGAGCCGTGATGTTTCTTAAAGCAGCCTGATTGGCTGTGGAATACAGATGCTGATTATAGTCCATGGTGAGATCTGGCCTTGTTCATGATTGGTCCTGTTTTGGTTTGTAAGTGGGGCTGTAAAATATTCCTATTTCTATGGCTTGATTTAATCATCAAATGCAGCCAAAAAAATCCAAGAAGACTGAGACAGGACAAAAATGAAGGAATAGGGAAAAAAATCAAGTACAAGGGTATCTCACTGAAGAGCAAGGCCAAGACCATCCACACTATTGTATTCTTGATCACTATGTATGGGTGTGAAAGGTGACAGGAAGGAAATCAATGCATTCAAAACATGGCACTAGAGGAGAGCTTTGTGAAAAGCCTGGGCCAAAACTGTTTCCCTGGAAACAAAAATGACAAAACTGAGGCTGATGTACTTCAGGTACATCATAAGAAGGCAAGACTCCCTGGAGAAGATAGTCATGCTAAGAAAAGTCAAGAGGAGGAGGAGGAGGAGGAGGAGGAAGGCCAACTATGAGATGGCTTGATGGCATAAAGGAAGCTTCAGCCTTGACTTTGGGATTGCTGAGCAGGGCTATAAGGACAGGACCTTCTGGAGAGACTTCATTCATAGAGTTGCCATGAGATGGAGACAACTTGATGGCATGTAACACCAAAAATGTATATTTTACCATTTTTAGGTATTTTTAAAAAATATTTTTATTATTTTGAGCTATTTTAATTTTATATAAAGTGTACATACTGGATGCACGTTGGGGTTATTTTGCATATTTGTAATTTAAAAGGGGAAAAGACACAGAAAAATGGCTCAACCAGGTCCTGCTTTATAGAACCTAAAATGTTTAGAGCAGTAAAGCCGTCAAATATTGAGGGCTCCAGTTGTGAGGAAAGAGGGAAAGGAGAAACGGCTTGTCCCAGTTTTCCTTCCCCAGTCATGGGAGCTGCAGTTCAGAGTTGTCTGGAGAGTGGCAGATTGAGAAGGCTGAGTTTCAGTTCTTTCCCAGTCATTCTATGAATCTATACATTGGATAAGCTGACTCAGATCTGAGGTCTATATAGCAAGGAGAAGCAGTTAGAATGGTGGGGTAGTCAAAGGGTGCTCTTTTTCCTTTCCTTCCTCCTGAATCCTGTTCTATCTCCAGGAATACTTTCTGGGGCTGATAGGAGTTGGAGTCCAAGCATCCCAGAGGGCTACAAGTTCTTCACCAGCCTATTACTTCTGGCTACAGATTTCTGAAAATACATTTAAAACCTGTTTATCAGATAAACAAAGTTTACATATACAGGAAACAAGCAGGTGGCAGCGCTCTTTTCAAATGGCATTCACCTCCCTGAAAGGACCTGTCATCTACCTCCAGGATTCTAGACTAGTCACAGCTTGTGACCTACACCAACATGTGATTTTTATGTACCCATTGACAGTTGATCATTACACAAAGGAGCAAGTGATATCACGTTTGGCATCTATACAAGCTTTCCAAGCCTGGAATAGCTCCACTGTGTTCAGAGGCTATGCCTAGCAGGTTCCATAAAGCCCTCTGCCTCAGTGCAAAGATAATAGGCATTCCTCTGGTAGCACTCACAAGAAAGCATTGGTTGCAGAGTGTTTTCCTGTTCCCTTTAGGCAGTTTTATTATGCAGAAATAGAATGAACCCATTGATCGGTGAAAGGGCAAATGTGCTTTCAAAATGAACAGTTGTCCCATGTTGCTCTATCTAGAAAGCTTTAAATGCTTTATATTTTCCCATAGATTTGGTATTTTGTGCAAACACCTCCAGATCCCTCATTTCCCCTTCAAGAGGATAGGCGACAGTCTGTCAGCCGCCAGCCCTCATTTACCTATTCTGAATGGACAGAGGACAAAAATGAAGATGACTTCCTTGATCTGGACCCAGTGCCAGAAACACCTGTTTTTGATTGTGTGATGGACATGAAAGCAGAGACAGATCCAGCAACCCTAACAGTTAAATCTGTGGGTCTGCAAGAAAGGTATGGTAATCTTTGATGAAAAGCAAAGAACTTCGTACAGGAAGGTCAAAGTTTAGGCGTGTTGAGTAAAGCAGGCTAGTAAGAACCTGATTGACTGCATTTATTTCCTTTCAAAATGAAAGAGCTGGGCTCCACAGTTGTTTCGTCTGTTATTTCATCTGCATGAATGTCTCTTACAGATCTGTATTAGGAAGGATTCCTCTTAACAGTCTTCTTTAAAGGAGGAATTTTAGGATTATTGAGCAAAAATAATGTGACTCTTGAATGAAAGCATTCAGTTAGCCATGCATCAACTTTATCTGCCAGTGCTGACAGACGTTCTATTTGAGGGTCTTCTGTAGCTGTTGTTTTGATAATGACTAGTTCCACAGGAATGTGGTATTGTGGGAGAGTTTAACCTTTTCTTCGCATGCACTTCCTCTGATGTTAATCCACTCGCAACAAGCTACTATTAGCTCCACAGTGTATAGTAGAAAGATGAACACAGATGCTACTCTTGTCTTCTTGCCCCTGCTAAGAGGGACTGATTCACATCTGGAAAGAGGCATGAATGGAGAGGGTTGACTGCCCTCTTCCAGGGCAATACAGCCAGTCTTCAAGCCTGTTAATTAGCGGGAAAAAAGGAGATCCTGCTTCTGGGGTCTGGTTAGGCAATTAAAGTTTTGAAGTTCATAATGTTGACTTATTGTACTGATATGAAAAGCAATATTATCACTTGGTATGCTGCATCTTTGATTTTCCATAGCCTAGATTTCCTGCAGACCCTAGACAACAGCTTGTTTATGTATTTTGCCCAAAGTAAAGAAAAGTCAATGGTTACAGCTGGCTTGTTTTACAGTTAACAAATGCCTGTGTATCTTGCTGTCTTCTGCAGGAGGGGTTCAAATGTTTCGCTCACTCTAGACATGTGTACTCCAGGTTGTACTGAACAAGGATTTGGCTATATCATGTCCCCACGGGAGCAATCAGCCCGGGAATACCTCCAGACAGCATCAAGTGTTCTCACTGAGGAAGAGCTGCACCAGAAAGCACTAGATTCTTTTGTACTCCAGACAGAGTTTTTTGTGAGTGTTTGGACCTTCCAGTTTTCAAAGAAAGTGTTTATAGCAGCTTTCCTCAACCTGCTGCCTCCAGATATATTGAATGATAACTCCCAGGACAGACTTGTAATCCAGAACATCTGGAAGGCACCAGGTTGGACAAAGGTGGATTATGGTGTTGCCTCCTTTCCTCGACGCAGCCTGGGTTTTCTGTACAGAGCATCACAAATAGGCGCTTCCTGCTTTTGACAATTGGTTTTTCTGATTTCCTTGCCACTGAGCGGATTCTGTTTATTCTAGACACAAACACAACCAGACAATGCAAACACACAACACAACCAGTGTGGTGTAGTGGTTAAAAGCATGGGACTGGGACTCAGACGATCTGGGTTCTAGTCCCTGCTCAGCCATGGAGCCAACTGGGTGACTTTGGGGCAGTCACAGACTCTCAGCCCAACCTACCTCACAGGGTTGTTGTGGGGATATGATGGAGGAGGAGATTTAAGCTGCCTTGAGCCCTTTGTAGGAAAAAGGCAGGATATAAATACATACATACCAGAGGGGCACCTGCAGTGATATGCAAAGCCAACAGCTTTTGCTTGTGGTGAATGAATTGGATGAAGGATTGCACTCTCCCAGATGGACCTGAACACCAACTGATCTCCTCAAAGGCCCTCTCTAATGTCCAGACCACCCCAGAAAGAAGCTCAAGTGGGAATAGAGAGAGGGCATCCCAGTGGCTGTCACTGAGCTCTGGCACGCCATTCCAGGGGAAGCCTGCCTCACTTCCTCATGAATGACCTTCTGCAAACTAGTAGACTTTCCCTTTTAGACACACTTTTAATTTTCTGTTCTTAATTTGTCCTGCTCTTTGAATATGTTCAATATTTTGGTTGCAATGTATTGTGGGTTTCTGCTACTGCTTTTGAGTTTTATGTCATGTGACTGTTGTTGGGTTTTTCCCCCCAATTTTTTCATTATTGGCTTTGCAGTAAGCTGTCTATAAATCCTTACAGATAGTGGGGTATAGATGCTATAAAGTAAGTGATAAATAAATAGCATTCTGCATAGGAAGCTGTCATGTACCAGGTCAGGTTATTTTGTCCAGGTATCCCGATATTGCATGCTCTGTCTAGCAGTGGCTTTCCTTATGCAGAGGAATATAGATCACCTGCCACCTGATGCATTCCCCTGAACATGCTGAGGACTGAACCTGGCCAATAAGAGCCATTTTCTGGGCAGTGCACAAATTAAAGACATAACATACCAGTAAAACTAAAAGAGTAACAGCATGAATAGGGTAAAAGCAAAATCAACACACAGTAAATCCAAAACTAACACGACGCTCCTGGAGTAAAACCATGCAAAGACCCAATCGGACTAAAATCAGTTTCATAAATGCCGGGGAAACAAAAATGGTCTTCACTTACCTCTGAAAATTCCATCATGCAGGCACCAAGGACATCTCTCTGAAAAGGTCATTCTGCAGGCAGGGTGCAACCACTGAAAAGGTCCTCTCACTTGTAGGCACCCTAGGTGTCCCTCACTTGTGCAACAGTTGCAGGCATATTGCCCACCAGATGTGTGATCTGCACATGGGGAAGATGCTGGAGAAGAGCTCTTTAGCAGGCCTTTTACTCATGGAGACAACTGTTAAGTGTGGTTGGATCAACTTTCACCAGTATTACAGTCCTAGTAGTGAATGAACTTTCATTGTACTTAAAATAATGACACAAGGGCATCAACATGCTTCTAGGACAGCGGTTAACCATGTTCAGCCCCAACCAATCCCTGCTCACAGAATTTGCAGAAGCTGCAGCCAAAAAATGGGTTACTGCTGCTGAATTCAACAGCAAATTGCTGCAAAAGGATGAATCAAGCCAAATGTGTCTGCTTTACCTGTCAGTAGCAGTTTACTGCTAAAATTTGGCTGCAAAGTGCTAATTCTTTTTGCTATAGTCACTGAATTTTGTGACACACCAATAAAACAAATATGGCTCATGGATTAGGAGCATGGGGCCATAAGTGACTCCTGGAGTCCCCAAAGTAGCCCATTGCTATTGTGGAGGGTGGTGGTGTCTACCTCAGACAGAAAATACTCTGCCTGCGAATGCTTCATTAAGAACAGATGATTCTGTACATGAGGACAGAGTTTAGCATTCAGAAATTAGAGTACTTCCGTTCTAGCCCCAAATATCTGTAATGCCTGGAGTTATACATGGGAAGTCACACTTCTACCCCAAGGGAATGATTTTTGTGACGCAGCTCTCCTACTGCTCCAATATGTAATGACTCTGGCGCCAGTCCTTCACAGAGTCAGGCTATCTACCATCCATTGACCTGAGTTTATTTAATAAAAGTGAATATGGAATTTGAACAGGCGGGGGCTGGATTTGGCCTGTCCCAGATGGTGTATCTGTGCTGTAGCATATGCTACTGTTGCATATTCATGAGATTAGCTGTTTTATGAAATGACAGACTGGGGTCTGAACTGATTCATCTGGTCAGTACACATCCTTAGTACATGATCACCCTGTGATTAAATATGTGCAAGATTGTCACCTGAGCCTTTAGTCACTGTGGAGCTTATAACGCCGTCCTAAGAGCTCTTATTATATGTTACTCAGTGGACTAGTTTGCAGAAACATTCCAATACCCATACATTCAAACAAAACCAAAAACAAATCCCATCACAACTCCATACTGCCAAAAGAAATCCATTGGTTACACTTAGGTTAAAAAATAAGTAGCAGAAATGCCGTATCATGTCTTTGAGCTGATTCCCTTGCTGCCCTTACTTCACATTCAAGAAACAGCAGGATTAGGAATCTATTAATGGCTTCTATTGTGTATCTTTCATCAGGAAATTCCAATGAACTTTGTTGATCCAAAGGAATATGATATTCCAGGTTTGGTCAGAAAGAATCGCTACAAAACAATTCTCCCAAGTAAGTACCCCATCCTTATTGTACCATTTTGAAACTGAGATCATTTCCAGTTCTATCAGTGGTGCTGAAAATGTGGGAGGGGTCCTGCATTGGCACCCATAGAGGCTTGGGGTGGGGGTTGAATCCCCACACATTGAGGGTGGTGTTCTGGAATGAGATAACCAAAAGGGAAATGTTTTATCCTATCCTTTAGGTCCATGGTGGCCCTGATCCAGATTGGGGGCACACCCACTGACTCTAGGACAAGAAACAAAGAAAGTGGCCAGTGGTACACGACATAATTTAAGTAACTTGTACTCAGACCCTCTGTGAAATGTCCACATGAACAGAGGGAGATGGTGGGAAAGATACAGAGGACAGGAAGGTGATATCTGATGGCAGTGAATGCAATTCTAAAAATAGGTTAAAGGAACAGGTTAAATGCTTACAAGTTCTTTGTTAATAATATGTAGGCTGAACATTGCAGGCCTCTCTATTGTTAGGCGAGAGGCTCAATTTCATTAATTTAGTTTTACTGTTTTTCTGTTCACTTATCTTAGTTTACACTGTAGGTGTGCCACAGTGAGGATCCCTGAATTTCATTTTTGTTTAATCAAGCACAAGTAAAAGTGGATTTGGGGTACATGGGGGTGTTATAAGTTTGTACTGCTATATCTTTCTTTGTAAAATAAGGGAGCAGTCCTGTCTGGATGCCTGAAAGGCTCTGAACATGGAGGTTTATGGACATCCAATACAGAGAGGATGAGTGACCTTTGCCTCCCCATTTTTCCACTCCACATTTTTGCTAGTTAGGCTTTTTCACCTGCCTGGCTGGAGCATTTCAGGGGGAAGGGAAGGAAGGAGGCTGGAGCAGCTTTAGAATACCTCATGCATTTACCCAGTCTCCTCCCCACTCTGCCACAAAAGCACCATCTTTTCCCCTTCAGCATGGTTGCCTTTTGAACATTGGAGAACACTTGTTGCAGTTCTCCCTATGGGGAGGATAGGAACTCTGATTCATTGCTCCAAGTTTGGAGCATTGTGTCGGAACTTGGATATGGAAATCTGAACTATTTTATGGCCCCTCAGATACTGTCCAAGTTGCTCCTTAAAGAAAGACCTAAATTATAGTGGCCAAGCCACTTGTGAAAATAAGTGCAACAACACAGAAACTCCAGATTTCATTGTAGAATAAGATGAACATGGCATCTGAGCTTGAATTTTGTCAGCACATAAACGTGTGGGTGAGGAAGATTAAACTTGCTAAGCAACCATAACAGTTCCTCTAAAAAGTTCTCATAAGCAAGTAAAAAGGTATCTGCCCCAAGGAATATACATTCAGACGTTTGATACTTGGACAGGCAGTAGCGGGCAGAACAAAAGGGGGGTATGAAAAACGAGGACTGATGGTTACCAAAGCATGTTCGTGTTGCCAGGTGGGCCTCGCAGTATTTCTTGTAAGGAAAGGTAAACCTCACGTATCTCTAGACGACTATGTGCTGCCTATGGCAGGAAATGAGTGCAGGTGCAAGCCATGATGAGAAACTGTCATGAAGTAGCTCCAGTTCTGTATGTGGCTTTTAGGACTTCGTCAACTTCAGTTATGAAGCTCAGCCAAAGTAACTTTATTTTTGCGACTTCATATTCAAGAAATGTTGAAATTTCTTTTGAAAAGTTGCTTGCAATAGCAGAATGTGCTGCTCTGGGGAAAAAAAGTAAAAATGTCTGAGGTTGTCTAAAACAGATGTTCACTCCAGTTTGAACTGAAAGGTAAACAGGCACTTAACTTAATGATCAGTTGCCTGCAACTCTACAGTTAATTGCAGTTAGTGAGAGAAATGATAATAGTCTTTAATTCAGCTAATTTATATTTCTTCAGTTGGAAATACCGTTAACAGATATATGCATTTGCTGTGAGTAATTTTTTTAAAGGTGGCATCTTTTGAAGGAACAGGTTCTTTTGTGTTGCCTTTTGTTTTTGTTTTAATATGAGAGGGTCTCAAATGTTTCAGCCTACCCAGATGAAGATGGGTGTCTTCAGGAGGGCCGAATCCATGCTCTGCTGCTCAGGAGCAGCAAAATGTAGATATTGTAGTAGGTTCCTGAAGTACCTTTGTGTTGCTGTCAGGACTGGGGCAGCCCACTGCATTAACTTATGCTCAGTAAAAGTTCTGCGATGCAGCAATACAGAAAGCAAGAGGGGCTTTTCGAACCGTTAATGAGGCATTGAAGGGATGGTGAAGCAGGTGCTGATAGTGGCTATTGACTTTGGTGGCTTTTAAGGGACAGTTAAAGCAAGCCATGGATGGTAGCTATGTCAATAACTGCCCACCATGAGATCTAAAGCGAACCTCTGCTCATATGCCCCTGAATGCCAGGTGCTAGGGAGGGCTGTTGCCTTGAGATACCGTGAAGCAGGATGCTGGCCTGCATGGGCCTGGTTTGAGACCACAGTGCTGCTCTGACATTTTGCACCACCCAGGTTGCTCTTACAAACTTACTGTAAAATCTTCTGGTGATTAGAAAACAGTACAGGGTTTCTTATTTACTATTAATTACCCTTAATAGGTTTATTGGTTTTTGCTTTTTGTAGCGTGTGTTGTATGTCTGTATTACCTTTCTGAAACCAACCAAGCAGTTTACAAAAAGTTAAGAAAATAAAAACTGTACTGATATACCAGCTTAGTTAAATATTAAAAAAACAACTAAATGTTTGGGAGACTGTGACTCTGTACAAACATACTCAGCAAGTGCAGCAAGCAAGAAATCCTAACTTTAAAAAAACATTATGACATCCTGGTTTTCATTTAATTCCAGTGTTGAAGCCCTTCAAATGTTTGATCAAATTCCAACTAAGTACAGTTGTCTATTTATAATTTTTCCAAGTAATGCACATATAGTTACAAACACCCCTTTTATATACAGCATAAATTTTATTCTTCCCTTTGATACTGAACTTCTTTTTTAGCCCATCTTACTGATCATCTACCACAAGCATGTTTGTTATAATTAGTGAATTTCTTTTTTTCTTTAGTGATCTTGTTATATAATTCTTTTATGTTCTTGTTTGTTCTTTTCGTTGTCTTAATTTTGTTAATGCTATTTCAGACTGAAATAAAATTTCATAAGGGAAAGAAATCAGGTTTTTAAAATGTATCCTGACCCCCTTCTTGTACAGAGCAAGAGAGGGGACTGTTCACAGCTCCAAGAGATGCCTATCCAGGCCTTTGTGAGTAAGAACCCCACCTTCTGATCTTAATAGCTGAGGTAGTTGTGAGAAGGATCTCACATAATTTTTTGCTGTTGATTTGTGCCTTTCAGATCCTCACAGCAGGGTGTGCCTTACCTCAGATGATCAAGATGATCCCCTGAGTTCTTACATCAATGCCAACTACATCAGGGTAGGAGCTAAGCAATTCTTTAGGAGTTTCTGTGTAAGCTGCTTGTTGGACTTCCATTATTTAAGAATGGTTGTAAAATCCCATAAATCACCATTCCTACCCTTCCAAACACAGAACTAAAATGCAAATGCACACATATTCTTAAACCTCAAAGCATCAAAATTCCATTTTCCATGATTGCAGAAAGGTAGCTGCTGCTGCAATCTCTAGTATCAAATAGTTGCCACCTTTACTGTCTGCAGCACATCTCTGAGAATCTAGCAAGAACCAAAAGAGTACTACACCAGATTAAGAATCAAACTTAGTTTAGCCATACATTTTGCATAGCATAAATTGCTTCTATTGCCATAGCAACTGTTGCTGCTTGTATAAATGGAAGCGTGCCCTCTGTCCTTGGCCTGTGTGTATCTTTGTGCGAGAGAAAGTGAATGAGTGTGAGAGAGCACATATTTATTTCTGATTGGCTGACAGTCTGTGGAAGGTTGTGGTGTATGTGTAATTCAGTGATTATGGACTGTTATTTCTTTGTTGGCAGGGCTACGGAGGAGAAGAAAAGGTGTACATTGCAACTCAGGGACCCATTGTTAATACTGTCAGTGATTTCTGGAGAATGGTATGGCAGGAGCATTCTCCAATTATTGTCATGATTACCAATATAGAAGAGATGAATGAGGTAATGCTGAGTCTCCATTCTCTACCTGAGTTTTGTGATTAATGCTCCCACAGTGGATGGCTGAACCACGGGAAATGATTACATACAGTGTGGCCCATTTGAGGAGCTAATCAAGTGTGTAGATAACCTCAGTTGTTAAGGCTTGCAGTATGCTATAAAAGTTGGACTAGCAAAACATCTACAGATAGGTAAGCCCCACCAAATAGATGGTTCTTAATCATTTCTTGAGAGACAGAGATAACTGTTCGTCAAGGTAATGCTTCTGCTGCATTGTGGATTTTGAATTTTCCTAGCACTTACATTTTGTGCTTAGGAAAGTGTGATTCTTGCCCTGCTAGTTGCAGGGTGAATGCTAATTAGATTGCTATTGCGCTAGGATCCTGGTCAACCACTAAAGTGCATTCCTATGCATGTTTAGACAGAAATAAGTCCGACCACTCACAGCATTTTCCAGCAAGCATAGCTTGGGCTTGTAAGACCTTTTTCTTGCTGAGCAGGCATAAGATTGAACACTAGGTTCCCTAGAGGACAACTCTGAGAGGTGTGTGAAAGTTACAGTTCTGTGCCACCTTCATATCTTACCCAGTAGAGTTCTGCAGCCACAAAGGCCACTTTCTCCATCAGAAACCATTCTCCCCAGTTTGCTTCTAGAATAGCACCTGGGAGCCAGCTAGGTTTCCTTAATACCCTGGATGTTACCCCAAAGTCACCGCTCAGGTTGAAGGCATGTCACATTATGACTTTCCCCCTAGTTCTTGAAGGAAATGTATTGCAAAGAGTAAAATGTAGAAAGGCATTACCATATGGTTAAGCTCTACAAATGAAGAATACTTACCTGGCTAAGGAAACTTGGTGGATTGTGGTCAGTTCTCATTTTCCTCCAAGTCTATCCATTACAAGTTGTATCTGCAGCATTACTTAAAGTGTTACCAAGGAGATGAGGATGCTGCACACTTGGGAGACTCACACACATACGCACATTGCCTCTGAAAGACATATTTGGTGCAAAGTCATTCATTAATGCATAAAAATCTAGTAGGTTCCATCAGTTTTAGTATTAACAAAAGATACAATTAAGTCTAGTTTTTCATTGATACCTCTTATTCCAGAAATAACATTGTGCCTTGAGACTCAGATATAAATATAGAAAGAGAGCTCCTTTTCACTAGCATTCCTACTCTGATGTTTCTCTCTCCCCACTTCTGCAGTTTCAAATTAATATGTGAACACTATGTCTTGAAAATGTGTTGGTGCAGAACTGGAACCTTTGTTCTGCCATGAAGTTAGAAGGGGAAACCTTTGTATTCTTGCTATATACATTAACTCTAATAATGCAAGGATTAGTGGCTCAGTATTCCAGCACTCCTGTTAGGTCTAATTTGAACTGACAGACAGCCCACGGAAATGTGTGGGTGTTCTTACTTCATTTCAGCTGTCGGAGACTGAGATATAGATAGTGGTTAGCACATTTGACAGTTTGCTACAATGGATGAATGCTGTTGTAGCATGGAGGGGCTGCACGATGACAGGGAGAGATAGAATTGTGAAGATTTCACACAAGAAACGTTAGTGACAAATTTTCTGGAAGATGTAAACTGATGGTGCAGCACTGATTCGAAGGAACACCACAGTTTGTGCTACAGGGAAAAATGGATTTTTGAAGAGTTCTCTCCTTCAGCTAAATTTTACCAAACCTTTTTATTAAATCATAGAATAGTAGAGTTGGAAGGGGCCATGAAGACCATCAAGTCCAACCCCTGCTGTTGCAGGACACTCAAGTCACACCATCCCACTCAGATGGCTGCCCAGTTTCTTTTCAAATGTCTCTAGTATGGGAGAGCCCAGCACCTCTCTAGGCAACTGGTTCCACTGTACGCTGGAGACCAAGATGAAGCCTTGGAGCAATGATATGGGGTCATCCCATTGGGAGTTTCCCCTGTCCTCACTTGCACATGTCACTCTAGTGGATCATGGGCAAAAAGACCCATGAGTTTATTGCTAACGGCCCACTAAGTTTTACTCAACAATGTGGATCAAGGATATTAAAGGTGCCACAGGAGTGCCAATTCCTGTGGCAACATAGAAACTGATTATGTGACAAGAATCCACTATTCCATCTACAGAAAACATAAGGACTGAGATGAACAAGCAGCACAGCCTTGAGCTGAAGGAGCTGAAGGAAAAGAAGATAAGAACTAGGAGATCCTGAACAGTTTCACATGGACTGGCAATTCCTGGTTTAATCCAGGAATTGGTGATATCTGGTGGGAGCAAGCAAGTGTTCTGCCTCCTACATGGTTATTGTGAGATCAGAACCCAGAAACACTGGATATCCAAGGGGTTAAACAAGCTAGAGTTAACCGAGCAACAAATGATAGCTTCAGAGCAGGTGGTTTAACAAGTGCAGAGGAGGCAATGTCTTGTTGCTGCTCAACCCTGGAAACCTATTTTAAATTCAAAAGTAGCAGTAGTCAGATGCTCAGCAAAAACAGTTTTGTGGGAAACAAAAGAGTGTTTTGTTGAGGAGTTGTCAATGATAGCACCAGGCCTCTTTGAGAGGCCTTTCCTGTTTTGGGTGTCACAACTGTAAAGGCTTCTCTCCTAGTGCTCACCCACTGTACAATCCAGAGCATGAGGGCCGGGAAAAAGTGTCTCAGGAGTGGGATGATGAAGTAGGAAGGCAGGGTCATATTGGGAAAGAGGATGCCATTCGCAAGTTCTTTGAATTGAGCCTGGAAACAAATTGGAAACGAATGTAATTGGAAAAGGATCAGTGGACTACTATCCAATCTACCTGTTCCCTGTACCCTAGCAATTACATTCCTAACCTGCTTTGGGAAGAAAGGTTTACACCTTCCTCTCCCAGGATTTCCCCCCAAAACTACGGTGGGGGATTAATGAAGAAGAATAGCCTGCTCTGGTTTCAGGAAGGAAGAAGGGAGGCTGATCCGCTTTTCTTGGAGCACAGTGGTTTCAGCCGTCACACTAGAGGGAAAATAAGACAAGCATAGCAACACAGTACACCATTCACAGAGTATCTTGTTTGGTTCTGGAATACATGCTTTACTCTGTTTTAGTACTGTAGAATAACTTTCCCCAGATATCTGTATGTCTGTCTAACATTTATGTTTTGCTCAGAAATGTACAGAGTATTGGCCAGAAGAGCAAGTTACCTATGAAGGCATTGAAATCACCGTTAACAGAGTCATACAAGCAGATGATTACCGGTTAAGGCTTATTACACTAAAGGTGAGCTCACTCAGAGGAATGTGGAACAGCAGGAAAACTCTTATTCAGGCTTGCTCACGGGCAGTCAAGTTGCCCATTTGTATCCAGCCTACGCAACACAGCTGAAATATCACTTTTCATTATAGCATGGATGATGTCTCTATCTGGTTTCCAATCAGGTAAGCAGCACCATAATGGAAGCAGTCAGGCAATTTTGATAGAGTATGTGCAATCCGAAGACTTTCCAGCCACTTGTAAAATGAATGTCACATCCAGTGGAAGAACTGTGTGAGTCATTCCACACAAGTGCCTACTGGTCATTTATTTACAACTCAGTTGCTCAGTGAACTTTTCAAATCTTCCTTGGCCAGCTATTAAGAATCATCCTAAAGGCACCAGCTTGAGAGTGACAGTAATGTTTGTGTGATGCCGTGCAAATCTCTATAGGTTCTCATATTCTTTCAGGTTACACACAACAGGTCAGTTGTGTGTTAAATAAGCTTCTGTTTGATAACTCTCTGTAGCAAGTGTGCGATGTGGCTGGGCCTGGTAAGCCAGTTGGTGCTGTCGTACAGAAACCAAGCTGCAGAAGATGTGAATGCCACCGTTGTAGATAAAATTATTGGCATCTGGAAAAATGTTCTTTTCCGCACACTGATCCACACGCACAGCATCACTTCTTTAGGTTTCAGTGGGGCAACTCTTCCAAAAAGACGAATCATTATATGTCTTTGCCTAAAATTACTTCTCTAAGTGATTTGAATATGAAAATTACAGAAATTAGTTACGGTATCATCTGCTAGTGCCATGGCTATCCCTTCTCTTGTACAAAAGCAGAATATTTCAGCACTTAGACATATTAATGTGATTCACTGCTTGTAGAATAGTTTTTTTAAGTGTATGTTTCTCAGCAACCAGAATCTAGAGTGATTTATGATAATGTTCTGAGATTTTGAGGAGGTTCTAAAACAAGATGTAATTATTTTTGTCTTTTCAAAGTTCACTGTAAGCATTTAAGTTTGATTATAAACTTCATCCAAAAAGCCCATTAAGCCATTAAACTTCTACCACTCATTAAATCTTGTTTCCTTCCTCTGTAACCCAATATTTGCTGAGCCTATGATAAGCAAACATTTAGGTGGCCTCTAACGATTTCAAAAAATGTTTGAATACAATCGTGTTTATACAGAAAGTGAAAAGTGATGATAAAACCATTTCAGTTGTGGTACGTTTTTTTCTGAATACCATGTATCACTGTCTGGTGCTGTGCCTTGTCACATTGGCAACGAGGTGTACAGGATGAGGGCCTCCCATGCTTACCAGTTTGTGGGCATGCTCTGTGCTGGGGTGCCAGCAAAGTTTCCTTTTAGCACCATGATGCTGCAGAGAGCCCTAGCCCAGCTGAAATCAAGATGCTGCCTTACTCTTCTAGCAAAGACCCTCTGAAGGACAGAGTGATTGCATCTGTGGAATCCTGCATTCAGACTTCGTAAATCAGTAAATCTTCCCCACATCCTAAGCACTTTCTGCTGCACACCACTGTGTGATCTATAGCAGCCTTCCCCAACCTCATGCCCTCCAGATATTTTGGACTGCAACTCCCATTAGCCCTCCACTGGCATGGCCAGTTGTCAGGAATTCTGGGACTTGTAGGTCCAGACATCTCAAGGGAAGATTGAGTTACAGGTTTGATAGGGTATTACATATGCATGGTTCAGTTTCTCTCTGGGTTTTGTTAAATTAAATTTGTTCAGGGAAAATAGTGTAGTACTATGTATTTTCTTAATTCAGTTCCCACTCCTAGAATCCAAAAGCACTAATAGTCTTGACAATTTAAAGGTTAACTTGTAAACGTCTGCCTGTAAGTGCTGCCTATCTCCAGGCCTTCCAGTGATGTTTCATTTGATGGTGATTGTTAAACATGCCGTTAACTTGCCCAATCAGTCACTAGAAAGGGGAAGCCAGTGTTCCAGTGACCTGCAGCTCCATCAAGCGCCAGATTAAGCAACTGTAAAATAAAGCATGCACAATTAATAAGTATGTCTGCAAACTGAGCAGCAGATTTGTTGATTCAGGAGGATTTTTTAAAAAAGAAAGTAAGCCTTATGCCTTCTGCTTTCACAGAGGGTGACATGTGGTATATGCAATTAGAAATAGCTATCTGTCTATCAGGATATAAATACAATTTCTGTCAGTCTATGTGGCCAAATACAATCGTGTTTTGAACACAGCTCTTCAGTTAGCTGAACAACAGCACGAAGACACGACTGTTGAAATGTTTGAAGTGGCCGTGGCAACAATGCAGTCTCATGCGTGATGGCTTTGTAGACCAGTCCAACAGCTTCCCCCCACCAGGGCAGAATCGGTGCTACTGTGCCAACTGTTTTCCTTATTTGCTTATATACTGCTCTTCACAAAAAAGACCACAGTGGTTTAGACATTTTTAAAAAATGGCATTTCATTTAAACTGGACAAACGGAGAAAAAAATCAGCATGGCAGCATCATTGTGAATTATCAGGACATGTAAGAGTCGGCTCCAGTTTCCGAAAGCCTACAAAAAGAGAGAGGTTTTTACCCATTGGAACAAAAGAAGGGCTGTGGAGCAGGGACATCATTAGACAAGTGCTGGAAAGGCTCGTATGGAAGGAGAGCTTCCCTGGGACAAGGGACCAAGCCTTTAAAGGCAAGAACAGCCCCATTGAATTGGCCTGGACTGAACAGCGTCTGCCACTGCCAGATTCAGTGAAACACCGTCATTCAGCCTAAGACGACCAGGATGGCCTTTTCGGACACGTGGCCTCTTGGCCTGCCCTCTTGCACAGTCCCTGCTGCCCCACACTGCCCCACTGCAGTGGAAAGCAAGCTTTCCTAAGGCTCTGCTTCTGGATTTGGGTGGTGCACAGCCATTTTTGTCACTGCTCTACAGCTGAATGTGGTAGCACAGAAGCAGGAGTGCTGCCGATGGGGAGTGCCTCATGGGCACAGAGTGCACCCCAACCCCACAAAGTGCCTCACCCCCTTTAAAAATATTTGCATAGAGCCAGCGCAAGTAGCATTTTAAAATAAGCAGCCTTGTTATCATCTCGGTGTCTGCCTAGCAATGCGGCACTTTCTCACCTGCCCGTCGTTAGTGTCGTAGCTGTCCCGGTGCATATGATTGAAGTCAACAATTTCTCCGCAGAAGGGCCAGGGTGGCTTTGATTTCAAAGAGCTGCTAACGTACGAGATGAAGATAGTCTTCAGTACATACAGAATGTTAGGACCGCAAAAGATACAAAGACACTTTTTGTCCAGTTTTTAGCATCTCAGCATGATCTTCTGCACCCATATAATGGTAGCTGTTGACAGTTGGCTCAGTCAGTCACCATCACTGTGGACTGCTACAGATGGGGCCAGAGTTGTCAGGCTGGCTGCTTCTCTGGATGATGCATAAAGCTCACAAATAAATCCCACTTGACTTCGGTTAGTGAGCCATGCTGCACAGCCCAAGGGAAGATTTTAAAAATCTGAGTCATCAGGATGTCTCACTTTTGGAAAATACATCTGTCCAAACAAGATTATAGTGGCAAACTAGGACTGCCTCTCAGGATTCCATTTAGTTATTTTATTTATTATTTATTTATTAAAACATTTTTATGCCGCCCCATACGCCGAAGCCTCGGGCAGCTTACAACATTAAGTTAAAAAATATACAAACATTAAATTATAACATTAAATTAAAATGTTTGTAGAATACAAACATTAAGTTAAAATGTAAAAAATAACAATATAAAATATAAAATAAGTCGCCCTGGCCAGATAAAATCCAATAATATTAACAATTAAAATGCCGCTTAAATAAAAAGGTCTTCGCCTGGCGCCGAAAAACAAATAACGACGGCGCCAGGCGGACCTCTCTGGGGAGCACATTCCATAACTTAGGCGCCACTGCAGAGAAAGCCCTCGTCCGAGTACCCACCCTCCTGATTTCTTTCACGGAGGGTTCCCGGAGAAGGGCCTCTCCCACAGATCTCAAGGGGCAGGCGGGCATATATGGATGTAAGCGCTCCTTCAGGTAACCAGGACCCAAGCCGTTTAGGGCTTTATAGGTCATCACCAACACCTTGAATTGGGCCCGGACTTCAATGGGAAGCCAGTGAAGCTGACGGAGGACTGGAGTCATGTGAACATAACGCCCAGTCCCCGTCAGCAGCCTGGCAGCTCTGTTTTGCACCAATTGAAGTATCTGGACCGTCCTCAAGGGTAGCCCCATGTAGAGCGCATTACAGAAGTCAAGACAGGAAGTCACCAGCGCGTGTGTCACTGTCGCCAGGCAGTCGTACTCCAGGTAGGGGCGCAGCTGATTAATCAGCCGAAGCTGAAGGAAAGCGCTCCTCGCCACTGCTGTCACCTGAGCTTCCAATGAAAGCTCTGGGTCGAGGAGCACTCCCAAGCTGCGGAACTTGTCCCTAAGAGGGAGTGCAACCCCATTCAGGACTAGGTTCAATTCACCCTCTCCGAAGCCTGATCCGCCAACCAACAGGACCTCCGTCTTGTCTGGATTGAGCTTCAGTTTATTGGCCCTCATCCAGCCCATTACCTCGGCCAGGCACCAGTTCAGCACAGCCTCTGCCTCACCTGGATTGGTGGAAAACGAGAGGTAGAGCTGGGTATCATCAGCGTTTTACAAGGGACCTTTTCAATTAGGTTTTTCTACTCAGGTACTTCCTAAATCTGTTTGACTATTCCAAGTCTCATCATCCCCAGTCAGCATGGTCAATTGTGGCCCAACATATCTGGAAGGTTCCAGGTTGAAGATGGCTGTCAGTTCAGGAAATGGATTGATGCAATTGCTCCACATAACCTTTAATTCTCTTTCTGAATGTCTCACAGAAGGGTGAAGAAGTAAGAACTCTGAAGCATTACTGGTACACATCTTGGCCAGACCAGAAGACCCCTGATCAAGCACCAGCCTTGTTGCAACTGGTTCAAGATGTAGAAGAGGCCATGCAGTGTGCCAAAGAAAAGAATGCTCCAATCATTGTCCACTGCAGGTAGATTAATTCTAGTTAGATAGAAAAATGTCATAGAACTCCCAGCATTCCCCAGCCAGTATGGCTAGCTGGGGAATGCTGGGAGCTGTAGGAATCCCCCCTCTATCTTAACATACATAGAGTTGCATGCTAAGGGAGAAGGGAAGCAAAGGGAAAGCTTTGGTTTTGCCATTTCCCATTAACATTGTATTGAAGGAACCTTCCTTCACAAAGCTGATGCTGAGTTCGCTAATTTTTTTTTTTAATAACAGCTGCCATCACATTACCTGCTTTGCCGGACTTTTAACTATTCTGCTATCAATTTACCTCTGCTAAGCTAACGAGGGAGCGCATGCTGTTTCTAGTCTGACACTTCAGTCCCCCACTGGGACTTCATGGGGAAACATAATATCAGTACTTGCACCTTGGATTATTCTGAAGGTGGGATGTCGCTCTCCTGTTACTCCTCCTATCCCACATCTGCCACGCAGATGGAACAGGAGTCAGTGTGAGGTTCTTAATAACACATGCAATGTGACATACAGTCATTCCTAATTTCACTCATGCGCCCATTCATACTTTTACAGGGCAGGCAGTCTTGCCCTGTCACCATTCTTAAGGTGAAGCTGTGGTGACATCTCCATTCTAATAAGTTGTAGACAATATATGAAAAAATGTGCACATCCTTAAGCCTGAGTTTCACAACCCACCTCCCCTTCTTAGGTTAAAACTATGCAACTTGGGCTTTCTCACGTGCTTTCACGTTCTGTATGGAGTCCTCATTTCACATGTGGCAATAGGCACATCCGTGGGATTTGGATCACTGCTCAATAAAGTGCATGGGCGCAGTCAGCCTTCCCCCGCTTCAAGTGGTTGTTCTGCCTTGGAATGATGCAAGTTCTCATCCAACACATCTGGAGGGCACCAGGTTAGGGAAGACTAAATCATGGTCCCTAGGAAAGTAGCTAGCTATATTAAATGAGCTGGGTGACTTGGCCCTTCTGCCATCCATGTATCTGAAAAGAACCCCTCCCCACAAAAAATAAATCGTAATCTGAAAGGTTCACATATTTAGGGCAGCTGAGCATATTTCTCAGAGAAAAGCTTTGCACTCGGGCTTCCATAGATATATGGTTTGTCTACAATAGGAAATGGTAGGGTAGGAAAAAATCATTTAATTTAAATATCTACAAATATAATAAGTGCTGTTAACTGTTCTTGAAAAGTGAGCAAAAGTGAGCAAAGAGGACATTGCAGTAATATATTATAAATCCAGACCAAAGATAATTTAGGGTGTTCTCATCCAATCAGCTGAGGCTCTTAAAAGCAACAGATATAAGCTATGCCTTTGTGGTGTAGGAGCAATGAACATGTACATATACTATGAACAGACAGCAAAATTACCAAAATAATTAGCAGGACTGGCTACTTAATTTGATACATGACTATTGTAACAAGCTCCCAATTTTCTCCTCTTTCTCTCCCTTCCACACAAACCCCAGCTTTGGTAGGCATGAAGGATCATTTCCTTTTTAAAGTTAACATCATTTTCAGTAAAACTGCAACTCTTCAAGACTAATGGACATTCATGTGATGTCATTGCAAAAGAATAAGTCATTTTGAAACTTAATAGATGTGTCCCTTGTACAATCAACCTGTGTGTGATAGGAGAAAAGGAAACATGCAATTGAGGACTTATTCTCCTGAAGGATATACCACAAACAAGAATGTGATGTATTATATCAAAGCACAGTGTAGTGTTAGTATGCCAAATTTCTTAATATTATTTCTCAACTGCATTTGTTGGGTATAAGACAACCAGTTTTTTAAAATGTTCTCTGAATTCACTATTTCTTCAGTGCAGTTCCTATGCTCATTTAAATTTACAGAATGCTATTTTATCCAGACCTTTAAATTTCCAGTTCAGATTATTCTCCCCATTCTCTCTCCTAGTGTCCCATTCCAGCTATTCAAAGATGCACCGTAAAGGTAACAGTTTAAATAAGGAAAAGATGCCAGGAAATGCACACAGCAATGGAGCTTAAAATAACTGCTCCATGATAAAACATGCAGGAGGTTTGTGAGCTTGCTTTTCAGTCTTTTTAAAGATAATATCTGGAATCCATAACCTGTTGCCACTTAGAGTTGACTCTGCTCCATAGCTGAAAATGAAACTAAAGGGCAATATATCTGTAGTGTTATGGGCCAAGGAACCTCTTAAAAAGAATTAAGTGATATATCCTGTACACATCCGTAGGTTTGAGTGAAATGGCTGTGCACAAATAGCATCTATTTTTCCTTAGGGCATAGCTGCTAGGCAAAAGTATTTAAGTGAGCAGGAATGGAAACTTACTCAAGCAGCTACCAGCAGTGCCTGAGACCGGCAAAATGTGGATCGCTCTAGGACCTCAGAGTGCTTGTTAGTTGCTGCTTCAGTTATTTAAAGTGACATGTTGACATATCAGGCTTGACAGAAGCCGCATGGCTCACCTAACATCTGTCTAGCATTGTACTATGTAGCATTTTCCTCCAGTCTAAGTGATAATCTTTTATTAAAAATAAATATTTTTGAGCTGTTCTTTAGAGCATTTTATACCTATGTTTTTCCTTTTTTCCTGTAAATGAGAACTGCATATTCTGAAAACACCAGCTTATTTAAACTGCCTTTTCACACATCATATTGTATACCAATCCACTTTCTGAGATACCTATGACTACACTAAGGGGCAGTGCCTTCATAAAGTGTCACTTCTGTTAATTATTATTACACCTTTATCCAGTTTCTTACTTATTCTGAAATGAATGCTAAATTACATGTGTGTGTGCATACATTGTTCAGTGGCTTAGGGCCAAATTTTAAAAAAAGAATTTATTTTCTACTCAGCTAAATACAAACTGTTACATAAAAGGAGAGACAGTGTACTATAGTGGTTATAGTGCTGGGTTAGGATTAAGGAGACCCACGTGCAAAACTTTACTCAGTTATGAAGCTCACTAGTTCTCCATGAGAAACCAACCTTTCTTATGGGGAGTTAGAACCATAATTATGGAGAAAAGACCATGTACAGCACTCTGAGCACCTTAGAGGAAGGTAAAGCACACATATAATAAAATAAAGGACAAATATAGAAACTGTGCTCAGTTTGTGTCCATAACAGTCTCTGAACATGTTACCCACCAAGCTGAGTAATCCAAGCAAATAAGCTAAACTGTATTTAGTAGTTCTTGTCCCACAGAATAGTCTACATATTCTTGGTTTCCATTTTTCCAAGGAGGCAGGATAGCTTATCTGGGTTTATCCCACTTTATCTTCACAGAAATCCTGCAATGTTGGTTAAACAGAGAGAGAGAGTGAATCCCCAATACCAGACAGCGCACAGGTTCAGAACAATCCACCCTGTGCAGAAAGCCATGCCATGTGGCTTGTTTGCCCCAGGCCCACAATGTACCCAGCAGATGATCGGGCACAGTGTGTCTCTGGAGTTCTGTCCCCCGTTCCTCCTCCTTGGCCCTCCTGCAGGTATCCCAGGGAATATTGCCAGAGTGCTGAGGTTCTCCCCCACCCCTCCCTGCCTGGTGTGGGGCTGGAGAACATGGAAGCACCCATCACTCCAGCCTGCCAATGAGTAGGCTGAAGCAATGTGTTTCTCCTGCCACCCTAGCCAGCCGAAAGGGCAAACCATGGCAGCGGCCAGCAGTGGGGTTAAGCTTCCACACTGCTGCCTCCAGCAGGCAGCTGCATCAGGGAAGGTCTCGGGGGGGGGGGGGGGTTGCTCAGGAAGAGGACGCAGCAGAACATGCTATGGAAAGGGACAGGTGCATTCTGCCACTGTCCTCTGGTACCCAGCAGAACAGGCTTCATTTCCCCTTTGCTTGAGCGGTTGCACAGCAAGCAACGGAGAGGGAGGACCTGGTGGGCACTGTGCAGTGATGCCTCAGGCCCCACAATGGTTGAGAACAGGGAGACATATTCTGCGGGGTTTCCTCCTCCTGGGAGGAGGCCTGGCAGAATGTGCCTTATTTGGACAAGGCAAGCCCCAGGGTAGCTACAAAGCAGCAAGGGGCTGGGAATGACTTTGAAGCTATAAAGAAGCCACCCCACTGGGGTGTTTCTGGACAACACCCTTAGCCACCATGACTGAGCATGTGGCTGAGTGAGAATTGGAAATTCGTATCTCCCCTGTCCAAGCCTACCACATGACCCATTGCAGCAACTCACACATGATTAGATCAGAACCATAAATGCTTTCTTTGACGTAAGTCTATACTGATTGATCAGTTGTTCTTATATTCCACCCTTCCTCCTAATCAAAGCTCCAGGTGGCTCCCAACAATACTTAAAATTGGATGGTTATAAATATATCATCAAATGCCAAAATTTGTAGCAACAGTTAACAGATCCCTTTCCAGCAATGCGGCCACCCAGGACCTGGTAAAACAGAAATGTTGCCGGGTTGTGTTGAAAGTTGCCTCCGAGTGGGAGGATGGACTGGCAGGCAGGAGAGAGTTCCATGAGTGAAGGGAGGGGCAGCCAGCAGGGCCTCCCTGCTGCAGGGAAGGGCAGTGGATGGGATACTTCAGGAGGAGTGTTCCCTCGGGCATCTGACAATACAGGAAAACACCCCATCCCATCGTTCACTCTTATTTGCTCCCGAGATTCACACTGGCAACATGGTGCTAAACCAGATGGCTAACCTGCTTCTCATAGTTCTGCTGCACTGACACAAGTATGCATATTTTGTCAACATAAGAGCATAAAAAGCCATGCTGGATCAGACCAGTGGTCTGTCCAGTCCAGCCATGAACACTTCAGGAATTATGTGATTCTTGTGCAAAGTACTCAGCCCCAGAGTCACATAGGTGGGAGCAAAACTCCGCTTGAACTCACTTCCTGTGGGATGCCCGTGCGAACACTTGGTTCAAGGTGGACTTAGGGCAGAGAGAATGTAGACTGGAGCCCAGGGAGCCAAGGTGACGAAATCTGACAGGCTCCCAACCCCAAACCAGATTCTTCACACATCCGTAACCAGCACTATTTCCCTTGGCAGTGACTTATAATAGTTTAAGAAGTATCTGTTCTGAATCTCCCATCAGTCAGTTTCATGGGCTGACCCTATGTCCAGGTATTTATTATGAGAGAGAGAGAAATGTCATAGCAGTTTCTCCACACCATGTATAATTAAAAATAATTTCAAAGGAAGTCGGGTTGTTTTGTTGGCTGTACACATTTGGTAATGTTAATTCGGTTTACTAAAGAAATGTTGTTGTGCTTTCTGGAGATTTCTCCGTCACTTTCTGTTGTTCTCTCTGGCCAGTGCAGGGATTGGGAGGACCGGATGCTTTATTGCCACCAGCATTTGTTGCAAACAGTGGAAGAATGAGGGTGTCGTTGACATACTCAAAACAACTTGCCAGCTACGGCTAGACAGGTAAAAGAACTTGTTCTTCTCGAGAGAAACTTCTGTGATTCACATTTGATCACATCCGTCTTAAAAATGCTCCTGTTTTTATTCTGTTGCTGTTGTTAGTTAAAACAGTAATAAAAATGAACAAACAGGTACATTAACAACAAAAATTTAGATAGTTCTGAGAAAGAAATGAAGTATAACATAAGATAAATACAAGACCACATACTTTGACAAAGATGAACATTTAATTAAGTCCAGAATTAATTACATTTGTTGTTGTCTGTTAACTCATACATAAAATATTTCAAAAATACTGATTTGCTGAGTTACAACTTAACATTTCAGTCATCTGTGAGAAAACTGAAAGAAATTAGTGGGATTTATTTCAGAGTTAGGACGTGATCCAATGTGTGTTAGAGAGAAAAGAGTCCTAGAATTCTGGGTCAGGTGTCTAAACATGCAAAGGACTCTGCCCTGAGTACAACAGTTCTGGCTGGGGAATGCAGGAAGGACAGTGCTAAGTGTGTGTATGTATGTATGTATGTATGTATATTCAGACTTTGAATATACTGAGTAATCATGCAGGAGGAGCCTTTTTGCTTTAAAAAGACATGTTTATGTAGACATAATTCAGATCTTGCAAGGATATTCATTTCCATACCAAGTATAACATGAAATGTGAACATAAATCTAAAGTGGGAAAAGAATAGGGGCAGGTGAATGAGAGATTCATTCTGAGGACACTGGCATTTTCTGAACATTGCCTTAATATTCAACTTGTGCCCAATCCCTATTCCCATATGTGATCCCTCGTACTTTGTGCAAGTGGGAAACTTGCACAAATTGAGCATTGATTGATTTGCACAGATCTCTGCATGTTTGTGCAAATTTTCTCCATAGACTGAAATAGGGGCAGTTCTGTCTACTGAGGACATTTGTGCACATTGAATATTGGACAATGTGTACATAATTTTGCTGTACATCTTCAGAGCTTCAAATTGGGCATGCTCTCATGTTTTGCAAGCTGAAAGTAATTCTTGCAGGTCCGTAGGAAGCAGCATTTCTTGAGTAACTGTTATAGCCAGATTGCCATCTAGTGGTCAGGAATAGCCTTTTTGTTTGTTATCAACAAGGCTAGAATTTATGTGAAAGGAAACCATGTGTGTGGACACCTTCTCATGGATGCAAAGAGCTTAGAAAGATCAACTGTGAAGGCTTGTAAAGACAGGAGTCTGGCCCAAAGGACCTAGGGCTAGTGCACTCTCATGGGATTTGGTTCTTCCAGTAAGTCTCTTTTAAAACCGCAGGACAGTATTTATTTATTTTATTTATTTATTAAAACATTTCTATGCCGCCCCATTCGCCGAAGCCTCGGGGCGGCTCACAACATAACATAACATAGTATTTCTCCTACAGTGTGACCGTGGATTGCTGTTCACTCTGTGCAGTCCATCCTGTGCAGCAGCCCCTCTGTGTGTGTTGTCTCTTAAGGCTGCAATCCTAAACCCACTTTGCAGGGAGTAAGTCCCCTTGAATACTGTGGGACTATTTTCTAAGTAGACATGTGGGATTACATACCATAAAGTCCTATAGCAGAGTTTTCTAACATGGTGCTCTCCAGAGGATGCAGACTTCAATTCCTGTCAGCCCCTCCCAGCATGCATACCAGTAGGGCATGCTGGGAGGTGTTACCTGTGTAGGTGCCAGTTTAGGAAAGGCTGCTCTCAAGAGGAAATCTGGGTGTTTGCAAGCAAGTGGAACTGGGTGCTTTTATATTCCAAATCACAGATGCTCAGACAGATGCATGAGTGCAAAAAGTGTTGTTTTTTTGAAAGAAAGAAAGCATAACACATCTTGCCGAATTTTAATTCTCCTATTCCCACCACCCCATGCATTCCCTTGTCTTTTTGTTTTCTAGCTTGTTGATGATTCATTGTTTTGAATGTTGTTCGTTGCCTTGTGTGCTTAAAAAAACAAAGAGGTAGGGTATAAATATCCCAAATAAATAAATAAATATAACCTCTGGTGTCGAACCCCCAACAGTACTGAAGATGCTAGAAAAGTTGCTAGTATACAAACAAGTATGGATGCAGAAATATAAATTGGAGTCATGTTTTAGGATAGTTCCTTCATTAGTAAAATTTTGATTGATATGTAAAAAGGCTTGAAATCTATACCTAATCAATCACTTCCTGGTCATAACCCTCAAAAGGTGTCTTGTGCTGGTACCTTACCATGCCAATGAATGAAATTCAAGGAAGACCTTTCATGGGGGGGCGGGGGGGAAGAATCATGCTGCACCCTATTTTGAAGGAACCATGATTGTGCTCAGTGGAGGGCAGAAAAAGAAATGTCACTCTCTCGGGTACTGAGAGAAGATCAGTGGATCATCAGTGGGAGATCAGTGAATTATTAGCGTGGATTATTCTCAGCTGGGATGCACCAACATGAGGGACGCTGAAGCAAAAAGCATGAACAATGGCTGCCCAAGCTCCAAGGCCAACATGGGATTCGAAACAAAGGGCATCTTGCTAGATGCATAGTGTAGAAGAGTGTGGTATGCAAAAGAAGGCTGCCACTGGGGGTATTCAGGGAATGCTGGACCTGAACCCCAGCCACTGCTGACTTGTCCCTACTGTGGTGAAAGGTCAGAACTGAACCAATCTCCATCAGGGTTTTTGAATGATGTTTTCAAAGGCATGTAAGGCAGCCAGATAGACATGTGCAAAAAAAAAATTTATTTGTATAATCTGTATTTTTTGTATTATGTTTGTTTATTTATGTAAGCCGTCCCAAGGCGTTAAGCGATGGGATGGCATACAAAAACCCTAAATAAATAAATAAAATTTCCTCCCAGTCATAGGAAGCATTCTAGCCTAGCCTAACCTAATCAAACGGGAAGTGCATCTGTTCTGTGGCTCCTGTGCCCAGGAGTGATGCCAGAGCATCAACAATGTTCCCGGCACATTTTTAGGCTGTGTCTTCTGGAACAAAAATGGGTTCTTGAGCCAAAGGATCAGAGAAATGCCAGTGAAATCCACAAAGTACAATAGATGTGCATGTCCGAGAAGCAGTGCACAACAGCTCATGGTTCTCCCTGCACGCCCACATTTTATCTTCACTGCAGCCCTGTGAGATAGGCTAGGCTGAAAGTGACTGGCCCGCGTGCACCTAGTGCGCGTCATGATGTGTGTGGCCTCATCCAGCTCAATGACCACTACACTGCACTAGTCTCTGCAGAGGACGTGTCCTTCCAACTTTTTGAGGAAGACACTCCTTTTGCTACCAAATTTTCTAGCTCAAATGTAGGGGACAAAATCTTCTGACCTCAAAACAAAGTGAGTCCATGGAGGGTGTTCAAAGATAGGCTGGACATGCACATGGTGGGCATGTTGTGAGTGGAGCCGTTTGGAGCCAGGGGTCAGACTAGATGGCCTGGGAGGTCCCTTCTGGCTCGCTCTGTTTCTATGTTTCTATGATTTCATCGCTGGTTCAGTAGATTTAGCAATACCTAGTTCCATTCAACAACGAATGCTTAGCCAATGGAGGATGAGTAGGATTAACATTTCCACTGCAGCCCATAGATTATTTCTCATGGTATTGTCTGGACTCAGGCACTAGATTATTTCTGATGGTATTGTCTGGACTCAGGCACCCTTTCTGGGGCCTTTCATACAAAGTCTGGTGTTTCCCATTTTGACATATCCATGTCAGAGAGTGTTGAGCAGTTCAGGATCTTCTTCTAAGGCCCTTTGGCCCAGTGCCTGAAACTGTTGAATATTTTCACTCAGAGGCAGTAAAATTCCTATTAGGAAGATTCCTTCTGGCATATGCTACTGAGGGAATGTGGAGTGTCCTTCATTCACCCTCTAATTCTTATGAAATACCACACAAAGGTGTCCTTATAACTGTGGGGAAGGAGAAGAAGCAACAGGAAGCAACAGGATGAAACATCCTTTCCTGTGGTTTTGCACTAGAGGACCACCCGTGGTGTCTGCTTCTCAACTTCAGGGTGCAATCCTTTGGCTGCTAACATTTGCATGAGCCATAATTACCCCAGATGATGACTAATATGCCTGTTTGAGTCATGAGCTGGTGGAGATGCACACTCAGTGCTGTGTTTAGTGGAGGGGGAAAAAAGAGCAGGTCCAAATAAAACAGAGCAGGTCCAAATAAAATAATCAGATTTATCAGAAAGGCCATTCATTCTTCACTTTGTATGACCCACTTCCAAAGGCTGGTTGTACGCCTGTAAGGTACTTGCCTCACTTCTTTTTTTATCTTGCATGTCTGGAAGAATCTATTTTGTACTCCAGAAATTTCAGTCATAGCAAAGCAAGTCCTTTGCTGTTACAGAATTATGCATTCTTCAAATGGTATGCAGCGTGTACATTTTTGCTTCCAGGGGAAGTTTTGACTTGATTTGATCTAGGACCCACTTGTTCACTTTTTTGTCAGTCCAGGGTACAGGCAGTCCCCAGGGTACAAACAAGTTCCTTCCTGAGCAAATGGAAATTTGTCTTTAAATCAAGTTTGTATGTAAGTCGGATCATATATAGTTGACCCTCCACATTTGTAGGGTTTAGGGGTGCAGGACCCCTGTGAAAGTGGGAAAATGCAAATATCTCAAGCTCCCTCTCCCCACCCAAACTCATCAGTGCTCCTATTTGCAGCAAGCAAATGCCAGAAAAATTTCCCTCTCCTGTGGGTGGAGCAGGAAGGCCTGCTTTGGAGGCCTTGCTTTCTCCCCTTCCTCTTCCTCTTTCTCTGTGGTGATGATGATTCCCTGCAGTATTTGTTAAAAATTGATAGACTTTATAGGAGTTTGTTTGTATGTACAGGCTGTTCATAACTCTAATGTTTGTAACTTGGGGACTGCCTGTATTCACTTTCTTATGTAGAGCTGCTTGTATACATGTTCCAAAATCAGAATGCCAACATGCCCCAAGGCACCTTGGCAAAACAAACAAATATATTGATATATATTAACAGCCCCACTAATGCTTAATCCCAGGAATGTTTTTAGTGAATGCCTGTCTAATTTTAAGGGCACTGGATATAAACCTTACCACAGACAGGGTGACATATCAATCACCAATATGGCAGGTAGATATCTTGTGGGCAACGAGGGAACCTATTCAGCAAATGCAATATAAAATCTGCTCTTATAGACGAATATAAATGGCAACTGAGTAGAAAATGTAGTAAAGTTTTAATCACACTTCTGTCACAAGGGCAGAGTCTCTGCATGTAGCTAATACCCCTGCCAGTAGTCTGACCACTCTGTGAGTGATAAAGCATCTGTTCTAGCTGGGAAAAAGAGTTGACAAAAATATGTGTCTGTTAAAAAGGTAGCAGCAGAACAGGAAAGGGGGGGGGGAGGGTAATAAGTCCCCAAAAGAGGTGAGCAGCATTTCCTAGCATCTAAATTAATAACTTCCCAATCTAATTTCTATGATTCCAAAGCCTTCTTTCTAACACTGGAGGATTCAGTGGGGAAGGACAGATTGGACCCTAACTTAGCAGCGTATCCTTCATTAACTTATCCCAAGATGATTATGGAATAAAAATGGAATCAAATTGAGTCCATTTTAAAAGCTCAGGTAAGGACTCAGAACCTAGCAGGGCAAGTTTAAATTTTACTTCAGCTGCCCAAGCTGAAGAAATGTGACTAGAGACTGATTCAAAGAGTAGCTTAAAATTTAGGCATTTAGGGACTTGCAGAAGAGCAGGTAAAAAGGAAGCCCATACTATTTTCAGCCTAATGCTGCTGAGATCCAAATAGGCATGCCATATTATAGTAAAAATGACAATTTTTATAGCTTTTATGCAACTCTGCCAGAGATGTCTCATGGTACCACAAGAGCAAGCAGTCAGAAGGGAGCATGCCCTTATTTATTTTAGTTTAAATTAGCTTCCTTAAAGCAGCTAATTCTAGAAAATTAGCCAGAAAACTTATTCTAGGATATTGCAAACCATTAGGGATGTGGTACTGATTCCATCTGGGGATTTGTCTGCCTTCACAAGTAAAGCTGCAGTCCTTTTCTAGATTCATTTGCCGGGGTTATACAGACATCTGCTAATATAAACCCAGATAATAGATTGTCCATTTGGGTGAGCATTTCTAATTATTCTGATTTATAAGCCATATTGGTGTCAAAAGAACATTAAGGACCCTTCCAGATGCAGCTTGATGCAAGGATTGGAGATACAGTATCATGGCTTCCTACAAATTTATTCCAGAATTAAGAAGCACTATTTCAGCTCCACCACTTTCTTCTGAGGCCAACATGAAATACTTCTGTGAGTGCTACTCAGGGAGAAGATTTTTGCTTTCCCTCGAGATTCCCCACACTTCCAGAAACTCAGAGTGCTGAAAAAGCCTTCAAAAGCAAGTCATTTGCTTTGTCAGCATCCATGGGTGTTACTTTGGCAACAGACATGTACCAGGGCGTGGACAGGGAAGACTCTCTGTTCCGGGCAACCATAAGTACACACCTGAGAAAAGAGGTGCCATTTGGAGGTTGGTGGAGGGGCTGGCGCAGGCAAACTCTCCCAGAGTGGCAAGGTTCCCCCCTTACCACCCGCTGCTGTTGCTGAGCAGTTTGCTTACCACTTCCTGCAACCCACAATGGGATCAGTCTCTGGGTGACACAACACCCATCGTGGTTTCAACCATCTCTAGCCATAGACCGTTATGGCAGTTTGTGCCACAGTGGATTAGTACCATTGTTACCCACGATAAGTTGGTGCGTTGTGTGAACCCAGTCAATGTAATGAGTTTCCTATTGGGATGCTTTAATAAGAAGCATAGACTTTGGGACCTAAACTCAGGCATACATAAGTGGATCTTATAGGTGATCTGAGGTTTCCATCCAAAGCACCCTTGCCAGTTCTCTGTTTCCATTAGAACTGTGTTAGTTGTATGGAAGTACACAAGGGATTTCAGCTTCTAAACTTTCTGCTTCTGTTTCCAGGGGAGGAATGATCCAGACTTGTGAGCAGTATCAATTTGTCCACCATGTCATGAGTTTGTATGAAAAGCAGTTTCCTAGAGTAACAGCAGAAGAATGACAATTCAAAATTATTTGTTATGATAAAACCCAACAGAACTCTTGACCAAAATCGTATGTATTCCAGAGCTGAGAAGATACTCATTGAAATTTCAGAGTAGAAGATATTTATTTATACATATATAAATATATAAAGTTTTACTTTCATATTGCTTTATTTTGCATTAAGAGCTAAGGTATTGCTTTTCTTTAATGTGCAACTGGACATCATCTTCTTCACACACAGAACAAAGGCCTATTTATACTGTAAATAAGATCAGTAGCTTCATTTGTTACAGAATTTTAAAATGCTCTTGTCAGATTTGCTATTTAAAAAAATATGCTACTAGATCCAAATACAGTGTGAAATTCTTTGATAATGTCTTGCTGAAGTCTGTTATGTATGTTTACTACGCTTCAAAAGTAACTTTTTGGCCTTTTTTTCTGACCAATTGTTTTTACATTTTAAACTACCGGATACTGTGTATATCATAAGACCTTCTGAGCCTCTGCATTAAAGGATTCAAGTGGATTCATACTGAAATAATGTTTCATGCCTTGTATGATTGCTCTTTGAAAACAAACTTCCCTAAAAGATAACTGAGTATCAAACTGAAAAGAGCACTATTTGCAATTGCTCTTCCTGTCATTACAGCATTACTTGCCTTTTTTCAGGGTGAGAGGATGTGAGAGTTCATTCTGGGGTGGTTCAGTGTGTAGAATTTCCTCCTTGGTCCCACAGCCAAGTCCCTCACACAGAACGGTGTATGAGGGTATTGTGTTTGTACAGCCAAGTTCATCATGTAGTGACGTGGCCTTATCAATGCTTCATCATGTTGCAAGATATATGAAAAAGTTTAAATGAGCTGGTCCCAGTACAGTGAGCCTTGGATGACCCTGGTAACAAACCACAAGTTAAGTTACAATAGAATGACTTTAACCCAACAGGCCAAATGGATTGATGTCTATGGTTAAAACAAACAAAAAAGCAGGAGCTCAATCCACCAAGCCCTGGTATATAATGCACATTTGTTTCAATGGGACTTCTGTGACGCTGCAAAAGGCCTGTGTGTGTGTGTTTTAAAGCCACCTGCCCACATACTCTCTCCTTTAATATGAGCACATCTGACAACTTGAGGGAGAGGCAGTCCCTTTAACAGCACACGCCTGATTAAAAAGATTTCTTCTCTGAGAAGCTGCCTTGCTGGTCAAGGTTTTATTATTACGCTTGACCTGAGTTCAAGTCCCAGTGGTGGTTGCAAGATGCTGTCTTTACTCTTATAAGGTAAAGACTGTTTGTGGTAAACCTTCCCCAGGGATCTGACAGAGAGAACCAGCACATAGCTCTTCCTGTTTGTAAAGTCATGTGATCTTCCTGCTAAAACATGCATAAGGAAAACATGCCCTAAGAGCTAAATAAAGGCTCCAACATTAAGGAGGAAGAAATGTCCACTGAGCAATGGGGAGGACGGGCACTGACTTTCTTACGTCGGTCATACTAAGGAAGGCCAGAGGCTGAGTCCCATTATCTAAATGTGAGGTAAATTTATGTAAAATCTGGGGCTGTCCCTGGAAGCATGTGTAAGTTACACAGTATGACACGAGTGCCACCAAAAACATCATTCTTCCCCCAAGTTCTCCATTTCCCACTCCAATACTGATCTGAAGCAACATATTTCGTGTTGTGATGTCACAGCTTGCATTTCTCTGCCTTCGTCAGTGGCAACCAAATGAAGTGGAGTAAAGTTACGGAAACATGCAATGATGTCATACTGGGTAAGGGATGCTATGCAATAAAGCTGAACAAAGAAGCTATTAGTTATAGGTGAAGCTATACATAACTCGGAAAACTTGAAAGGGAGAACTTGTTAATGAAAGAAGAGTGATTGAGACAAAGGTAAAGGATACTGTGAGACTTTTGTCCCAATATAAATCCAGAGGCTACAAAACAAGCTTAGCAAAATGTTTAAATTTGGAAGCATTGCAGTTGCAGCAGTTGTACAAACTCAAATAAACAAGTCTTTTGCATGTCTGATTGAGGCCCTGCAGCTATAGACTCTGAATTGAAACTTGAAAGATTTGAAGGATTCTACTACGTATCTAGCTAGTCTATATTTCCAACATAATTTTAACCTTTGGACATCGTAGGAACGGTACAACAACTCAGTGCTATGACTTTTTTCTTTTACAAAGAAGCCTAGAAGTACAATATGAATGGGGAAACATACAAAAATAGTTTGAACTGTATGGCATTTCTTGGTGCTAACCAGGTGTATGGTACTGGATCAGTTCCTACAGCAACACCTCACAGTTCATAGAACAGTAATATTTGTAGTACCCCTGCAAAATGGGGGTTTTGCTGTTTTTTTAGATGGAGAGCTGAAAAGTAAACAGGTTTCCCACAAAAACTGCTAGAACGTAGGAAGCATCTGTCTCAAGCTAGGAGTTCCAGCTTGCCTTGATTTTGTCACAAGGGTCTTATGAATCATTATCACATTCCAAATGCAGAGATGTCCAGATGAGGGCAAGTTTCTAAGACTCTGGAATCATAGACTAATAGAGTTGTGAGGGACAAGAAAGGCCATCAGGTCCAACCCCTCAGTGCGGGACTCTGAGTTAAAGTGTCTACAGATCATGCGTAAACAATGTACGATGTGACTGGGGTGTTTTACAACATCTACCCATATTACCTTGCTTAGAAATGATGGAAAGTCCTAAGAGGGCAACAGCCTCTGGGCTGAGCTGGCAATGGGGAAGGAAGATGGACCACGCACACAATGAAGAATAATTTTAGTTCATTGCCATTTAACTTTACCATTTTCAAAAGTAGTCAGTCAAGGCCTTTCTGCCTTGTTACACATGAGCAGAGGTTAAATAGTTGTGTGTCCTTTGAAGAAATAACCAGCCAAGGTAAGGGTCACCATCATAAATGCACAACTTTTTGACCAAGAGCCAGTCTATACATTGCATTAACCTCGCAGGGTGTAGCTGAAGGTTTGCTTTATTCTTTGAGTAAGCACATCTGGCCCACATAAGGACTATGGAGGGACATTTCAAGAAGCAAGTGGTATGGCCAAAAGTTGAATCATCCCCTTCTGGTGCAAGGTGATCTCAGTCTGAAATGGGGTTGTGTGTGCTCACACGAGCAGGAAGAAACAAAGCTACAGGCCGCTTGATCAGTGTAAAGTATAATTTGGCCTTGAGACTGATTTCAAAGAGACCAAGCTTGAGAGGGCTGCGATTTTGCCTGGGCAACCAAGCGACAATAGGGCCGCAGTGCTTTTGAAACGTCTAACCCCACTCACAAATAAATGGCACCTAGTCTGGGTTCCTGCAGTCATGGAGGGAAAGTGAGACATTCTCTAGGGTTTCGTCACTGTCTTATTTCATGTCTACATGTCTCCTTCACTGAGCCAGTTTCAAGATATTTTCAGCACTGATGCCAGCTAATACTGGATTAAAGGATAGATGGCCATCATTTTTAAATATCTTAGCAAATGCTTACATTATTGATGGTCATCTAGCAGACCTGGGAAGAACAAAAAGCACTGTTGGCATACCGCATGAGCTGAAAAAAAAACTTCATTTGAAGATCGTACATCTTGCATCTCTATGGGAACATGCCGTATTCAACTGTTAGTGATGGCTGGTTTTGCCCCTGAGGGTTTGTCATCTTAAGGCTCTTACTGGAGCAATGCTAGACATGTCTACTCAGAAGCCAGTCCCACTGGGTTCAGTGGGATTTACTCATAGGCAAGTTCGTATAGGATTGCAGCCTAAGTATGTGCAAGTGTTGAAGCTGCAGAAATGGATGTAACGACATCGCCCACAAGGGGCCAGCGTGTATTTAAAGTCTGAACTGCACAGAGCTATATTGAGGCCTGCTGGGGGACCCAGCTGTCTCTCAGAGACTGCCAAGACTCGGAGGCCAGTTCATATCTGCTACAGGACTTGGAAGGACACACTGATGCTTCAGAAACCTCCCTTTCATAATACAGCCCACCAACAGTCCTTGTAACCAGAAAAAGAAAAGGTACCATTTACCAGTAATTTAGCTTGCCTGTTATATTCTGAGGGTGTAATGCAAATTTTTGCACTGACATGTTTGTTGTGCGGGGGGGGGGGGGGGGGGGCAATGGACAGCCTGACTTCCTATATTCTAATACATCTATAATCCATAATCCTGGAATAGGTGGTATTTTGCATAAATGGAATTACTACAATGCTGCAGGCTAAACCATAGTTAGCTTAGCTTGGCCAGGTAGTTTTGTTCCAGTGTTAGACAGTTTTGTTCCAGTATTAGTCAAGGGGGAATGTGCATGAATTATATCTACAACGAGGGCCAATGTTTGAAATTTGTATCTAGCAGCTGCATTTTTGTCATGTTTATTCTAAAATAGATGCAGAGGCCCCAAACCAAGATGAGACCTAATGTGAGAGTACAGGGGCTTTGAAGGTCCAGATCATGCCCCTTTCACTCATGTTGGATTAAAAATGAAAATGCAGCAGCTAAATACAATTTATGCATTTACTTAGCTATTTTACTATACTTCTCAACTGCTCCATAACCACAGTTCTCTGGCCAGGGTACAATGCATTAAAACTATGCAGTACAAGCAGTTCAGAACAAAACTCAGAGACCAACACCAATAATACCCAGCAGCAAAGAATGAAACTAGTACAACTCTGTGAAACTAGATTAAAAACAGTAGCACAATAGAATGCTAAAAGCACTAAAAGAACTGAGAGAATTTATGATCGCTGCCTGAGGAAGGAAGAAGCATAAAGAAGGTTACATCCATGTGTAGTGATGATCTCATGAGAACAAGCAGTGGACATGGGTAGCAGTGGAATCTGAATGAATCGGGGCTGGTTCTCACAGATAGTCCAGCTGAAATATTCATGTGGGCTAGAGGACAGGATCTGTTCAGAAGGCGCAATGTGTGAGAGACAAGTGTCTTGATCATCTAGACAACATTCGCACTGGGGGCAGCCTCCGCACACGGTGTGTGCAGCAGTGTTGTCATGGAAACTCTGTGATCTTGGCGATAGATCCACTTGGAGGGTGGCTCTTTGCAGAAATGCGATTTGGACGTTTTCAGTAAAATAAATAAGCAGGCCTGGCTGTGATCTGGAACACACGCAAGGGGAAATGTCGTGTTTGTCAAAGCCAGTGACAGGCCTCTACCTGTCCGTGAGGGGCTGTGCTGTGCCGTATCCTGACGAGCTGGCCGTTCCAGGCATACCTGGCCACGCTGGTGGGTCCTATCGCTTCAATGTTCTCCAGGTCAGTTCCTGAGCAAATTCAGAAATGGTGCTAACCTTGAAAGCTCTTCATCGGCCTTCCCCAACCTGGTGCCCTGCAGGCATGTTGAATAACAACAACTTGCATCTCCCAGTCAGCCACAGCAAGTTTTATTCTCCAGACTGATAAATCTTTGCAGCCCTTTGAAAGTGCAATTCTATGGTATTGATGCTTTGGAATGACTGAAACCTCTAAGCTCAAAGGCTGGGTCTATTGGAAGCCCTGCAGGTGAGAGGCAGCTAAGGCAGGGGGAGCAGTGGGGGGCTGTTCACTTCCCGCCCCTCCATTTCTGCAGTTGGAGCTGTAGTGGAAGGCCAGGGGTTAGCCCCTTTGGCCTTTCTTTCATCCCTGGGCCAAACCAGCCCAGCTCTGGGTCTCAGCCCTGTGGGCTAGACACTGGATTTAGCACTACAACTCATGCAAACACTCTATCTATATAAAAAAGAGGAAAGGGAGAGGGGATGGGATTCAGAAGAGAAAAGTGAATGGGCAAAGAGAAATCTACAAGCAGAAACCCATAAGCGCCTGGTGTCCTAATCCCAGGCACCCAGACTCCTTGGTGCACCACGGGGGGGGGGGGGGGGGGGGGGGCAAAAAGAAAGCTAGCTCTATTCTTTGATTATCTAACACACACTTTCTGACGGTGATAGTCAGTCTAAGGAGCTAGTCGGGGGCAGACACCTTGGCAGAGTTAGAGTCCAGTGGGAGAAAAGAACCCTCCAAGGTTTAGAGGGTTTCAGCCTCTTTCCCTGATGGTGGGGTAAGGCCAGGCCCCTATCTGTCCTGCTTCCCCAGCTGCCTGCAGTTTGCAACTTTAGTCAGGCACTGCCCCCTTTGCTCACTCCCCATTTTTTCTGGGGTTGTGGCACTGACATTGGAAGAGGAACCAGTTGGGGGGGGGGGAATCCAATTGGAGATCACCCCCGCACAAGGTCATACCTTTGTCTGTTGTCTGCAGGGATGGGGGGGGGGGATATCCACCATATCACCATATCCTATGTTTCCAAGGAATCCTTCCCAGAGCATAGGATTGCTAAGAATTTAGGTTTTTCTTATTTAGATGTATCTTGATCATGTTTGACTTGCTCTCTTTTTGTTTATTTTATTGACTTGTTGGTATTGTTGAGAGCATCAGGTTGTGGGATATAAACTTAAGTATACGTAAAATAACACCAGAGTCCCCTGGTGGAGCCCTTTTCTGTCATCAGCCCATGTGAACAGCAGTCATTCACTTTTATAGGAGTGGGGAAATGGCTGGATTCAGGTTGCACTAAGGGTTGAATATTGTCAAGCCGTGGGTTGCTGTGTTGTGCGAATCCGGCCGTTCTAACAAACAATGGTGTGTTTACTACAAACCACCCATAAAATAACCCATGATTCTTTGGTTGAGTTGTGAACTGTAGGCTGCTTGTGGTTTACAAAGCATGGTTTGTTAGCACAGAGGAATTCATACAGCACAACAAGCCCATGGTTCAATGTCAGTCCACAATCAACTGCACTGGCACGGCTCTGTCCTGCTTGCTCTTTCTTGGTCACGGAATGTGAGAAAGGGTACTGTACTTAATATTGCTGAGTAAAATGATCAAGCCTTTTTATTCCACAGCTTTTAAAAGTACTGTGATCTCAGGAAAATTCAAAGGCGTTCAATATGGCAAGTGCAGTCATGCATAGGGAATCCCAATTCCAGCAGCATCACTCCATGGAATTCTCCAGTTCCAGCTCCAGTTCAGTGCATGTATCCCAAACAACCAAAATTGTGGAAGGCAAGTATCATGATGAGCTGCAGAAGCTCTGGATATCCTTTAAGATAGTTTGAAAATAGTAAACTAAAACCATTGGTCTGCAGCAAGTAAAACTTAATTATAACTGATGAATTATGACCTTTTCATCTTATCCATAAATATTAACTGTATTTAGCATACAAATAACCCATGTTCTGCTGTAGGTCATTTGAGGGTTCTATGCCCCTTCAAACGAGCCATGTTTCCTGGTTTCAGACTATACAACAAGCCATATATTTTTCTAATTGTTATATTGTTATTATTTATGTATTTATGTACTTTGTATCCTGTTGTGAGCCACCCCGAGGCTTCGTTACGATAGGGGTGGCATAAAAATGTTATAAATAAATAAATACCTGAATGAGTAATTAGGGAAATGTTGCTCAGGGTGCACCAGAAATTAAAAGAAAACCTGGAGGCTTATGAACCAGCACCTTGCATTCCGTGTTAATTGCTGTTTTACTTTTGGATGATTTGATGGACCCTGTCTCAGTGTGTCAAGTAGCTCCCATAAGCTCAAACTTATGCATGGGTCCATGTAGCTGGTGGGTTCACTCACTGTAGCTCATTTCTCTGCCCCACGTGTGCTGGTTGCATGCTGCCAGATTGCATACCAAACTACTGTAATTTCCCACACCGAACCCTAAACCAAACCATGGATTCTGTAAGCCAACCCACAGACCCCAAAGCTGGTTTGGATGATGCAACAGAGCACGTCTGGGTAATTCTGTATGAGGCAGGAAAACCAGCCTCCCTGGGTGAGTGAGCCCAGGCTTAACAAATGTAACATAACCTTCAGCTCCTCTTGGCCTTCCGTGTCTGGTGCAGGGCCCCTCCCTAAGTCAAACTGGGTCCATTCCCTAATGTGGAGTAGCTGAACCTCCACTTTATCTCAGCACTTTGGGATTCCCAGATCCAAGGTGGGAGGCAGCACTCTGCCCTTAGAGTTGGAAACTGGGGCTCTGACCTCCCACCTTGTAGCTCACATGAAGAGAGCAGCTGCCTCTCCGAAGTCAGGAAGCAACTCTGGCAAGGGGGAGAGTGAGGATTTGGGGGCCTGGGAGGGAAGGAGACTACAGAGGCTCTGATATGAACAGTCCTGCTCCCCACCCTTCCTCCCTCCCTCCCTCCCTCCCTCCCTGCCTCCTCCAAAGGCAATAATGCTGCCTAGCGAAAAATCCAGTGTGGGAGGACAGGGAGCTGAAGACCACCTCCCCTCCTCCTTCCACTCTGCAGTGGCTGACCAAGCCTCGCATTCAGGGGCTTATCGCCATGGCCGTAGGACAGCATCCTTGGCTGCTTCCATTCACTGAAGCTCACAGTGGCATAAATTCTCTTGAGACATTCTATGGACACCAGACCTACGCCAGGCTGCATGGTGAAGACAGGAGAGAAGCTCATCACCAAGGTTTCACTTGTTATGAACCCCCGTTTGCAGGGACTATAATGTCCGGGAGGCACTCAGAGGAAAAATGGCATTTGGGGATGCAGCCCTCAGATAAATTTAAGAAAACGCCTGACTGCACCATACACTGTTTTGGAAAATTCTCTAAAACTTGGACAGCCGCTTCATTTGACTAATACACCCTCATATCTGACAGAGGAGATGGTTTCTCGGAAATCCTCTGCTGTTGTGGAGTCCTTCAGCATGGTCTCCCATTCCTTTGAGATCCCTGCTGGAGAGAGTATCCCAGAATTTGTGGAGAAACCTCACCCCCTGACAGCCCCAGAAGGTAAGCCATGCCCATTCTCCCTCTTCACTGAAAGCGAGTGAGCGGCTCTGCCTGCCACTACAGTCCTGCCATGGTCAAGGTATCACCATGCCTGGGTAGGATCAGCAGGTCATTGAGAACTGCAGTGTCTGACCAGGTGGAGGAAGATGATGGAAAACTTGGGAGGGATGGGAAGCAAATGGGAATAACTGGGATAGGAGCAGTTTATGCTGCAATACATGGCTGCAGGTGGATCATGAAACCCACCACACCATCCAGGCATAACAAACACTGTCTTAAGGCTAGCTTAGCTTAGCCTAGCTTAGCCTAGCCTAGCCTAGCCATCTGTTTTCAAGAGCCAGTGTAGCGCAGTGGCTGGAGTGTTGGACGGGATGCAGGAGGTCCAGGTTCTGGTCCTCCCTCAACCACAAAATTAACTGGGCGATTCAAGCCAGATGCTCTGACAAACATCCTTCACAGGGTTGTTGTGCATATCAGATTGAAAGGAGGGGAAGATTATACAAGCTATCCTGAGTTCCTTGAAAGGAAAAAGGCGAGATGTAAATATCATAAATAAAAAATAGGCCCGACAGCCGGAGTGAGCTGCACAAAGATGGCACAGGGAGCTGCCCTCCAGCAGTCACCTGTGGAAGTGGGTCTGGAGGAGGAGAGCAACACCGCCACACGAAAGGCAGGCTGCCCTTCGACAGAACGCCCCGTGACGTTATTCCGCCTCGGCCCACAGGAGACAAGGCCGTATTTCGCGCCAAAGTGAAAGGCAACCCTAAACCCACAGTGGCATGGAAGAGGGAAAGTGGGCTGCCGATCAAGGAAGGATCAAAGATGTTTTTTGACAGCATCAATAAGGAGTATGTCCTGAAGGTAATGAGTGTGACTTCTACAATCTCTTTCTGCTCACGTTTCCCTGCCTTTCCCTGCTGTGTTATATTTGTCAGGTGTGTCTTCAACGGCACCTTGCCAAGGTCATAGCGTAGCCAGGCCACGCCTACTGAGGTGGAGGCTTGAAAGGGCTGGAAGGGGCGTTTAATGAGGGGCTTCTCCTTTTGAGGCATTTCTTGTGCCCTTGTGATTCCTCCCTCATGGAAGCCTTATTGCCAATGGGGTGGGATAAAAATCAAATCAAATCAAAAACTTTTCAGGTCCTTGCCATGACATGACCATTCTACAGGGTCTTTCCTGTGTTTTCCAGTCATTTTGGAGGCTTTTTTTTTTCTTAAGAGCAAAGAAAGTCTGCTATTAAATTTCAAATGCCTAAAAACCCAGAACAGAAGTCGCAACTCTGCTATCCTGCATCTATGCCATAGACCCACCTAGTGGTTGGATGATGGAAAATATAGAAACAGAGAAACAGCATGAGTCAGAAGGGGCCTCCCAGGCCATCCAGTCTGACCCCTGGCTCCAGCTGGCTCCACTCATGACATGCCTATAGAAAGGTGGAGAAATCAAATCCTGGGGAAAGCCAAGCTCTGCTTCCCACAAAGAAAAGGGAAGCAGCTTCAGTCCAGTGGAAGCTTCTTAAAGGCCTCATGAAGAGAAGCCTCTGCTCACAGGGGGAAAGCATAAAAAGGAAACAAAGAAAAAGAAAACTTCTGTAAACAGAGGAAGCCCCATTGAACTCAATTTTATTTAATTTTTATGCTTCCCAAAAAGCAAATCTGTGTGGTCCATTTACAACACATAGAATACAATACAAAATACAAACAGCAATTTAAAAAGCATGAAAATATTACCATACTATATTTAAAACCAAATTTAAAAGAAATGCAAAAATGATACAGTTCACTTAAATTGTAAGACTTGTACAAGCAGCTGGCAAAGCCCCAAGGAACACTAATTAAATGCCCTGAGGTAAAGGCCTCAACCTGGCACTGAAAATATATTAATGTTGGCTCCAGACAGGCCTCAATGGGGAGCTTGTTCCTTAACTGTGGGGCCACCACTGAAGAGGACTTAATCCTGTCCTTAAATGTACATATCAGGGGTGTCCAGCCCACTGCCCGGATGGCTATGAATGTGACCCAGCACAAAATCCTAAACTTACTAAATATGAGATTTTTTTTGCAACTCGATTGTGTAGTTCTCAAGCGTGAACTTTGTAGATGACAATGTCGTGCTGCAATGTCTCACAAAATAAATGTGCATATGCTTTCACTGTTTGTATACATGCATGGCTTCAGTTTTATGGCATTGTTCAGCTTCCATTTGTGAGCAACTATTTTTAAGAATGAAGCACTCTAAGAGTAAAATTAGAACCAAAATATCTGATGAGCACCTTGAGAACTCACTGAGAATTGCAACTACTTCCACAAACCAGATACTGATGCACTAGTTTCTCAAATGCAATGCCAAATATCCCACTAGTTTTATGTTGCCCTCTTTTACTTTTATAATAAAAATATCAAAAAATCAATGAAGTTGTATTACTAAGATATGTTCTTTTTCTATATTAGGGTTTGCAAACTTGGAACTTGCTCACTCTCCACATGGGGTACCGCATAATAAACCTGTAATAATCCTCACAAAATAATTAGGATTATTATGTGAGGACTTTTTTGCTTATCTGTGGTGGTGGATTTCACAAGTATTATGCACAGACCTCCTTTTTTTTTTTTTTTTTTTTTGCCCATCAGTTTTTGTTAGTGTTTGTGAATTTAATGTGCAGCCCAAAGCAATTCTTCTTCCAATGTGGCCCAGAGAAGCCAAAAGGTTGAACACCCCTGGTGCATATGATGGTGCTGTAACCTGTCCGCAGCTACAGTATTGGCCCTCATGTGGCAGCTTAAAAGTATTTCATTTCCAGTGGGCATTTTTAAGCCACTCTGTCTGCGAATTAATAAGGCAATTGTTAGTCTCTTTAGCATATCCTGGCCATTTATTCCCTGTGTAGCTCACAGTTCTCTTCCTTGACCACTTTTGAACAACGCAGCCAGTGTTGCCATAGAACTGGTTCCAGCATGTGCATATTTGAATATCTTGCTAGCTCAGCCGGAGGAAGCAGTTCTAGGAAAGTATGCAGCAATTTCCTTGGCGAACCAAGGGAGAGTTCTATCTTCATCAAAAAGCAATTGCTTTCTCCCCACTCACATTTGACCCAAGCACCTTCATGTTTAAGGGGAGAGTTTATGCGGGCTGTATAAATTCTGCAAGCACCTCTCATGGGCCCTCTCATCGGGCTTCTTATGTTGCTTCCTCTTTGCAGCTGGAAAGCCTCACATCAGATGATGCTGACAATTACAAGTGCATCGTTTCCAATGAGCACGCTGACATCATCTACATGGTGTCCTTGATCGTAACAGAATGTAAGTGCAAAGCACAAGCACCTAAGGAGAGTTTGGGCAGGGGGGAAGCACATCCCAGTGTGGAAGCAGGAAGGTCCCTGGAACTTCAGCTGGGAGCTACTCCACAGAGTCAAGCATATGACAGGTCTATGAGAAATGTGGAATGAGGGCCACGCGGCCGTGTCCTTACACTGAAGCAATTCTTCTGTGTCCCTTAGAACAAGGGTGGGGAACTTCAGGCCAAAGCTGGTCCTCCATGGGTTCCCCAAGAGGCCCCACCACTTTCTTCCAACTATCAATTGTTTGGCGGTTCCCCAGCTATCATGCAGCTTGTGCCCACTCTAAAAGGTCAAAATGCTTTTCCTAAGGTTCAGTTACTGGCAATAAGAGCCTGAAGCTACAATAGGTTGATAGTCTGACCTCATCCCTTTGCCACTGGAAGTGGCTCTGGGAGTTCCCGTGGAGCAAAATCTTCTTCTCAGGCCAAAAGAGTTTCCACATCACCACCTTAAAATAATGCATCGGAATGTAGGCTATTGGTATCAATTCTCTTATTTTGATTTTATTTCATTTTTTAAGGCCAAGATAAGCTGGACTTCAAAAAAATGTTGAAAAAAAGGTGAGATTTCTCCCCTCCCCTGCAATGAAAGGTCAGGACACTTTTCCAAGGGGAATAATTTTCAGATCCTCTCTCTACGTGGGCTTGCAGCAAACTGGGAATAGGATGCTGGTGAGAGGCAGAACAAGAGGCAGTAACTGCAGCCCAAGGTGGAGATTCCCCCAGTGCAAAAGAGATAGAAGGGTCAAAGGATTGCTATTGCTGTGAAATGTATTTTTAAATTTTCTAGATCTATCTAATAAAAATACAAATATCCTGCATGCAGCATTATATTGAGAGGCAACAAGGACTTAAAATTGCACCTGGAGCAATAAAGCCAATTTCAAATACTTCAGTAAATAAGTACCCAAATAAGTAAACAATTACTTTGCTCTGGGGTGGGGTTCCAAAATCAGGGTGCCACCACAGAGAAGTCCCTCTCTTTTTTACAATCATAACTCACTCCACCAACAAACAGTATGCATTTTCCTGCTTGTTTAAAACATTTTATCATACCTCTTCAGTGTTTCGGGGCTGCTAATAAATGAGTACTGAAGTCACAATGAAATCATTGTAAGCATAAAAAACAATGCAACTATCCAACAAAGAGATCCTGCAGAGAAAAAACAGCAGCAAAATGAGAGCTCCTTCTACCTATTTTATTTCTGAATGAAGTGGTTCATTTATAAGTGGTAACAACTACCTTCCACCTGAGCAGGGAAGTAATTGCATAGCCTTCAAGCCACTAAATACTTTCTTCTTCTCAACACTATACTGACTTTTCAGAATCAGGACCTTTGAGAAAGGTCCTCATTAAGGGGAAATTTGACAGCCCAAGTCAGCCTTAGTGTTTGCTCTGTTTGCAAACCACAATGGTTGGGGGCCTCTTGGGCAGGTCAAGGGGCAGGACAACCTCAGCCAAGGATCCACCAGGGGCCCAAAGCCCACCTAACTGGGAATGGGAGCAGGGCCTCAACCACACAGAGCAGAACATCCACAGGCAGAAGTGGGGAAACGTGTTCACAGAGGACTAGAGGACTAAAGAGCAATCTGGACTAGGGTGTCCAGTAATGAGCTGCCAAAAGGAGGACACTCATTAGCATAGCATTTGCAATGCTAATCTCTGTCTAGGGCCTTGCTCAGCCTGCTGTCAGGGCCCTGCTGATGGGCAGCTTCAAAGTCCAGCTTTTCCTCTGGTGGCTCTTCATCTATCAAGCACCCTTGAATGGGGCAACCCTCCAAAAAGAAGACATTGACAATAGAGAACAGTCCTTTCCAGGGCCTGCAGGGCTGCCTCATTCTGAGGGTTTCCTTCCAAGCAAGGCAGCAGTTTATTAGTTCTTCAGTGCATTATAGTCAGGGATGGGAGAGGCACTTGTGGATTTTGTGTGTGTGTGCTTGGGTACCACAAGCCTTGGGTGGGGGTGTGGAACAGGCTGGCTTGGGCCAGTCCTGCCTTTGAGAGCCCTGGGGATGGTAGTTTCCTGACCGAGTGATGTGCCAGAGTTAGCCTGTGCTAAGCAAATGTCGCCCCATAACCTGGCCTGCGTGCACACAGGGGTCCTCCGGCTCCTAAGAAAAAGGAGAAGAAAGTGATCGGTGAAAAAGAGATGCTAGAGATTCTTTCCAAGGTACCCAGGAAGGACTTTGAGAGGGTCTGCATGGAATACGGCTTCACCGATTTCCGAGGACTTCTTAAGAAACTGAAGGAGATGAAGAAAAAAGTAGAAGTTGAGGTGAGACAAAGGGGTGCTGGCTTAGCCCACACTTCTGCTTTGGGGTGCATCCTCAACATTGCTCTACTATTTCAGCTCCACTGTTGTAATATCCCCCAGATGCATCTTACCTTCCTGGGAAGGAACAAAGTGCTGGGCTGAAATATGTCATCTTGAAAACCTAGGAGTAACCTGAAATTATACCTGGAACTCCAAGTTTGGGCTTTACAAGTAGAAATCAGTAAAAGTATCTTCTTTTTAAAATCAAATGTACCAGTGGGACAGGGGGATTGTTTTAAAATTTGTAGTAGTCTGGAATGATTCACCATTAAAAACACGCATTGCCAAGATACGATTGCCAATAATTGCATTGCTCTGTTATAGGAAAAAGAGGTTGGATCCAAAGGCCCCTTTCTGTGGGCAGGAGGACCTTTGATGCAGGGCAGCTTCTGCAGGAGGAAGTGGGGGTGGAAAGGCATTTTTCAATCATTCCTCTTTTCCACCCCACCCCAGGCTGCCAGAGCAGATCTGGGGGTGGGGTGGGGGGGCTGTAGAGTGCTGCAGGGTGAAAGGGGAATCCACACCTGGGAGCCCCCTTCTTAAGGAGAGAGCTCAACTCACAGGGCGCTGGAACCAGCCCAGAGATTCTGGTGGCACGGAAGCACGAGTGCCCGCCTTTCCATCAACAGCAGCACAGAACCTCCTTCAGCCAGAGAGCTGAACTCAGTGCTGGGAAAGTGCGTTCCACTTGCTAGGTGGGACGGCAGGCAGAGGGGATGGGCATGAGGTAAAAGAGTCAGAGCCAGAAATACAACATACATGCACACCCTCAGCACACTGTCTTGTAAAACTCCTGCTTTTGGTGGGTAAGGGGAAGCACCTCAGCCCTTTTGACTGGGGGCAGAGAGAATTCTGCCCAAAAGCTGCAGAACCACCAAAAAAGTTGGTGATTGAAGGAGAGAGGCTGGTCCAGGGGAAGGGTCTTTGCTGGTACTCCAGAGGGAAGAATTGGGACCCCAACAGGGCTCTCTTTGGGCCCTGGCCCTCAGAAGCCTCAGAAGATACAAGCTATCAACAGTCATCTTTGCAAATGAGCAGCAGCATTTAATCTTGTTTCATTTATTACATAAGGTGAGTGTGTAGGAATCATCATAGTTTTGTTTTATTTGCAATTTCTACCACAGGCTGTCAAGATTCTGAAACCCCTGGAAGATGTTACTGCTAAGGTCGACTCGACAGCAGTATTTGACTGCATTCTGGAACTTAGGGATGCCAATATGAAGCTGACATGGTTAAAGGTCGCTGTCTTTATTGATGTTGGTTTGCATGAGGGCAGTGGGGTTGAGACTTTCAGAGTCAAGAACAGCGCGTCTCCTACAGGTTCCTTCTAATGCCACCTTATCGGCAAATTACTTGTGCAGGCTGGTTAATGACAATGAAAGGGTTTTTATATTCAAAGAGAGAAAATCAAAGAAAGTTCATTTAGTAGCACTGTAATGCACGCCAACATAAAATGGCTATGGACCAGTACATGTTCCTGCTGCTACTTCTCCGGTGTTTGTCCCAGTTTTCACTGCCTCATGCATCTGCCTCACAGAACACATCAGCTCCAGGGAATTTATTACATCCCCAAGATTCCCAAGCATTTATTTTGCCATGAGTGTTCTCTGCTTTGAGGCTCTGTATTTCCACCATTTACATTTCATGGTTGTGTAATTATCACATAACGACATGTCCAAATGAGTGCAGGAGGAACACAACAAGATGCTGATGTCCACTCAACCCCAAGACCTTGCTATGATGTCAGTTCCTACGGCTGACCACCTGTCACTAATGAAGGCTACTCAAGCAATGTGTATACGCATCCTGAACCATCTTTGAAACGCCCTCTTTCCAGCATGCATGCCATGGAGATTACTATTTACCTAGGCTTTCCAATCTGTGAACTTCTTTTTTCCAGGATGGCGATCCTTTGCGTCTTCAGTATTGCCTAGGCAAATATGAAACAAAACAGATGGGCACTAAGTTTATGCTCTATATCACCAACGTGACTGAAAAGGACATGGGCACATACACTGTTTTAGTAGGCGACAAGCAACTCTCTGCAAACTTGAACGTAATAGGTAAATTGTATTTTAATTACACATGAGAAGGAAGGAAAGATGAGTCATAACTTCAGCTTGTATGAGTCAGACTTGCTTATTTCTGTAGAGCAGGAATAGAATTCCAGCAGCTCCCAGATGATGATGCACAACTTCCATCAGACCCAGCCAGCACGGCCAATGGTCTGGAGTTACGGAGTCCAAATATCTGGGGTGGGGAGTACCAGGTGTCCATAGAACTACATTGATGACCGCAGCCTGAGAATCCGGCCCCTGTTTGAAAAACCTTCTCTGCTGTGAACAGACATTGCAGGTTCTTGTGTGTCTTGTTATGTCTTGGCAGATGAGCCCCTGAAGTTCTTGGCAGACCTGAAACCTCTGAAAATAACAGAGAGGCAGACTGCTGTGTTTGAAATCCGCCTTTCCAAAAAGGTGCCTAACTTTGCCTGGAAGTTCAATGGGAAAGAGCTGAAGCGAGATGACAAGTATGAGATCATCACGTCTGAAGACGGCTTAACTCACACCTTAAAAATCAAAGATGTCCGCCCAAGTGACATGGGTGAAGTTGCTTTTGAAACCGGTGATCTGGTGACCAAGGCCGAGCTTTTCATTGAGAGTAGGTGCAACTGAGGTTGTTTGCTATTCCCTGGGCTGCTCAAATTTTAAAACAAAGAATTGGAACGAGTGGCTGTAGACAATCCATTTTGGTTACTGCAAACCGCATTGTGCTTCCTGTCCTGGAGTCTGTCTGTCCCTTTTTTCACATGAGGTTCATGCTACTCAATAACAGATCAATGATTGGCTTTGCTAACTAACCTTAATTAGACCTCATTTGAAAACATAGGGGCATGTATCTAAAGTTTGTAAAAGAAGGAGGATCACTTAACTGTGGTTGAACATTTGGGGGTTCAACATAATAGGAAAGAATAGTGTGAATGGGATGAGGAGTCCAAATCATTTGTCAAACCAGATTCAACGCATTTCAGCAGATGATGCAACGAGGGTTTCCTTTCATTTGGCATTGAACAATTTCGCGTCTGTCAGAAGACTGGGTTAGAAAAATCTTATCCCTTTTAGCAATACTTCATTTGCTGCAGCATCCATCACAGAAGATGGTGGAATTTTTTAGTCTGACAGGTTGCAGTATCAGAAACATTAGAGAGAAAGCTTTAAAAAGGTGCAAAGATGTAAGATCAGCTGTACATTTTATTGGGCAACGTTCAGTCCTGCAGCAGGCACAAAACCTGTAGGCGCCTGTGTGTTCTCGGTACCTGAATGCATGCGTTGCACAACCTTAGTTGGGCCAAGGTTGCCAGACATGTACCTTGCATGTTTTAACATATATGTACACATATGTATGTTTTCTTCTTATATATGCTGATGTAAGGAAATGCCAGGAACACCTTTGCTTGGATCCGTAGAATCATGAGTATTTTTTGAAATCAAACTGATTTTTCATTCTCCTTTTTCAGTGAGTGTTCCTTCCAAAGGCTATTTGGCCAGTCCTAAGTCATCATTTCCTTGCTTAGTTCCACATCATCAGACTGATGTTTAGCTGCTGGCCCTGTGGTAGCCTTGATTTCCACAGGGGATTCAGCTAAGGTGGCAGTCCATGCAGCCAACGTCTGTCTGTTCCTTCTCTTTCAAGGACCACCAATTAAGTTCATCAGAAACCTGAAGAATGTCCGGGTCAAGGAGAAGAGCAAAGCTTGCTTGGAATGTGAGCTGACCACCAAAGACGTTACCCTGAAATGGATGAAGAACGGAAAGGTGATTGAGAGGTCTAAAAAATTTACCATGAACCATGAAGGCAAGATGGCAGAGCTGATCATAGATGATGCGGAGCTGAATGACTCAGGAGAATATATGGTCATTGCCATGCAAGAAAATGACCCCACAGAGTACTACAGCAGCTGCAACGTAACTGTGGAAGGTGAGCTCTAGCAGGGCAAGAGCGGGTTTGGAGGAGAACTTGAAACAAGCCTTAGTGGCACTGGCAGAAAGTCTGTTTCTTACTGGTGAGTGGGAGGGCTCTTGGGGAGGAGAGCGAGGCATCCTATGGTTACTAATGGCTTCCGTAGGAGAGCAAAGCTTTGCTTCATATTGTTATGCAGCTGAATTCAAAAGTTATCCCTGAATGGCTAAGGAAAGAGACAGACAGTTTAACAGGGGTATTCTCTTTTCCCACCAAAGCCTTGACACTTGGCCTTCTGCTTTCTTAGAACAGATGCAGGTTAGGGTGGCAACCTTCCCCCTCTAGTGCCTAGACTCGTTTCTTACTCCCCCTAGGTGTGTAGACCGGGAGGCCTAGATGTGAGATTGGGTAGCCTGAGGGCTCATGTGCCTCTGCGCAGTCATTGCTGGGGAGCTTGGGCAGGAGGGTGCTGTTGCATCAAGTCCTCCTTGTGGGATCTCGTGGTCACTGGGTGAACAGAAGGCTGGACCAGATGGACCTTTGGCCCGACCCTCCGGGCACTTCCTACATTCTTAACCAGATGTACCTTTCTGGCTCAGGGAGGATTTGAACTCGGGTCTCACTAACCCTGGGCTAACTACCCTGGGTCAGGCAGTATGGTGTCCGCAGGCACCAGAGAACCCCCAGGCACCTTGCTGGACATGCGCCCACTTCTTCCTTGAAACTTTTAAAAAGACTTGTTCCTGGCCCCCTGCCGCCACCGCCTTCATTTCTCTCTCCTTTTCAGAGAGGTTTGCTACAGTCAAGAGCGGCTTATCAGATGTCGAGGCTTCAACAGGCGACCCAGCAGAGCTCTGCATTGTCTTAAACGATGAGAGAGTGGAAGGCGTTTGGCTGAAGGATGGGAAAGAGGTGAGCTTTTATGGGGCCGACAGGGAAACGTGCATAAAGGCAAATGTGTCCGACCCGAACCCTTCGGCTAACGGATGCCACCCCCCCCCCCCCAGAGCCCACGTGTTCCCAGACCGAGGGCTGCTATTACTAACCATTACGAGGCTCGGTCAGCTAGTCCAGCTTTCCTCCCTTAATGGCTTTTTTCTGGCAAGAAGGAAACTGGAAGAAAACAGTGCAGAAGCCCAAGAGGGCATCAAATTAACCATGGTGTTGCCTGGACCCCTGAAAAATTCTGTGCATAATGTAGAACACAGTTGCACAATAACAGTCTCAAAATCTGGAAGAAGAATTGCTAGGCGTTTCCTTGTTTCATGAACTGGCAGTAGCACCGTGGAGGCAGAAGAGCAGGCTGCGAGTCCTTCCACCCGTGACCAGGCGAAAACTGGTCTCGGCAGGAGGGGCTGCTTCATTATATGTAGTTCAGCCATTTTCCTTCCTACCCAAGGGGTATAGCACTTTCCTGTCAGCAGATAGCATATATCTTGGAAGGAAATCGGCCTGAGGCCTGCAGACCAAGCTCGGCCCCTCTGGGGTTCCAGTCTGACCCACCGGATTTCCACACAAGGTCGTGCCCCTTCTCCTGTCCCAACCCTTTATCCCGCAAGTGCAATCATTTGTGGTGGTTTCCTGGCTTCCTCACGTTCCCCTGCCTGCTCTTTTCAGATGGTTGAAATGCTTCTCCTAAGCCTTAATTACTGGCATTGGGCAGGTTTGCACGTCCTGACAACCTCCCCGCCGTCCCCCATCAAACAAACTGTGCAGGCTAGGCTGTTGTGCGACCGCAGCTTGCTGTGTCAGACAGAGGGCTGGGCTCACTTTGGCTTTTCCTCAGTCTTCTAGCTGACTCCTCTCTCTACCACAATCATGAGCCCTTCCCCCACCTGCACTGTACCTTTTCCCCCTTTTCTCCTTTTTAAAGGTAATTTTGTGACCCCTAAGTTGTCAGACAGACCTTCCAAAGTGCTCATGTGGCATCTTGCATGGACTCTCACTTGTTGGTCACCTTGAAAATCATGGGCAATGACTGGGAGATGACCTGCTTTCAAAGAGCAACATGCACCGAGCCCTGGTCTTGACTCTGAGCTTTATTTTGCACTTTGCTTTCTCCTAAAAAGCTTAGTGTCCTGCTTCTTTTCTACCTTTTCCCAAGATTCTGGGCACTCAGAAAAGTGAAAGCCACTGCTTTTCCAGAAGCAGGGAACTCTGACAGTGGTCAAAGCCCAGCCTTCCTTTCAAACGGGTTTTTAATTCTCCTTCTCCTATTTTGGAGTGCAGATGCATCCATTTCGCGAAGAAAAAAAAACCCCAAGGTGAAAACAGTAGTGTAGATATTTCTGCACAGCAAATCTCTCTCCCCCTCTCCCTCTGTGTGTGTGTGTGTGTTCACATGCACACACATAAACACATGCACATGTCTCATTTGTGGGATAATACCCTTATTCAAGAAATTAAGCCCCCTTTGCAAGCAGAGCCATTCAGAGATTTGTCCAATGCTGTAACAACGTATAGGCATCTTTCAATATTAGAATTTTGAAGCTGATTTCTTCTAAAAATTATTTTCCTTCAGATTACAGATATGAAAGGAATCCAGATTGTCAAGCAGGGAGCTGTCCACAAACTGATCATTGACAAAATGGGAGCGGAATATGAAGGGAAGTACACTTTCAGAGCAAAAGGAGTTGAGAGTGAGGCCACCGTTAGCGTTGCAGGTAAAGTACTGTGTTCCAGAGCTGAATTCACTTTGCCTTCCCCACCACTTGTTTAGGCTCAGATCATTTCAAAGGCATATGGAGCAGGGCCCACACCAACCTGGTGGACACAGAATGTCCTATTTGGAGCAGAGTTCAGCTTCCTGAGAATGTCAGCTTTCAACGTGAAAGGAACAGGTTTCTAGTCCTTGTGACTGCAAATATGAGATTGGGGTGATGTAGGCAATGGGCCAGCTTGCTCCATGGCTTGTGGTGCTGTGAGAACCGCATCAAGGTGGCTTGTTATCATGTGACACAGTAAGCCCTGAGGGTGCCCCCTGCAGCTTGAACATTGACACTGGGGCAGCACACATGGCAAGCCCTCATGGCTTATGGAACCAGGCTCCTGGCTGCCAGTCTTGCATACCCAGTCAATGCCTGCTGTACTGAGAACCTGGAGGGGTGGCTGAATAAAAGACTTCCAGGACTTGGGACTGAGGCAACAGCTCAGTGCCCTGCAAATAGTTTGCAAGATCCTAATTAATTAAGCATGGCAGCAATTTTTGCAGAATAAGTTATTAAGAGGAAGCATGCAGATTCCAAATCATACAAATGCCTTCCATCTGTATCATTTATACAGGTCAGAGAAGGTGCCAATTTTCTTAGCAGGATTGTCTTGCCACAGAAATGTAACCTATTTTTTCCAGTGTGGCCACACAACTCAGTTCTTATGACCTCTGGGAAGGAGTCCTAACTTAAATTCAGCCTCAGCCATCAACCCAGTGTGACATAATCTAGCAGGAGTATTTTTTCTGTCTCTTTGGTGGCAAGCTCATCCCCTGTGTTAGCTGCTTCCTGAGAGGTGAAACCAAGTTTGCATATAATCCACACTTTAAGATAACAAAATTCTGAGCTAACATAATCAAAATCACTGCTGTTTCTAGCAACTGTTGCAAATTATGCAAATATTTGAATTTGCATGTGCTTGTTTCCTCTGCTTCTATTGGCTATGGAAATAGTTATGGGACAACAAAGCACCATTTGATAGCCACCAGAAATTCTGCTTGGATTCCTCTCTGGCTGTTCAGATTTTATCTCTCTCAAACCTTAGAGACTGGAACCTTTCTTTTAAAGGCAGAACACAGAAGCTCCAGCACTGAGTTCTAGTCCCAGAACCAGTTTCTATGCTTGTCCTATTTAAACACAATATTTGTACAACCTTTGGTAAAATGGCAAGGGTGAGTTAAATACTGCCAGCTGCTCCCCCCCCTCACCCCTCCTGATCTAGTCATATCCCAGTGCTAAAGTGTAACACCATCCAAAAACAGCAAAAAATGAAAGCACCCAAACCATGTCTTTGCATATATTCTAAATCTCTCCCAAGAACAACTTCACATGGACATTCTGTTCCTAATGGAACAGATGACTTAAGGAGATTGAAAATGCATTGGTGAACACCAAACCCCGAGACTTTGTGTATATCTGAACATTCCAGTATGAATTTGTGGCTGTGATTTTCAGACGGGTTTCTCCATTTCCATTTTTTTGCATCTCCAAGATCCCCCTTTTATTGACCCATCTGTGCTGGAAGGTTTAGCCGCCCACCCAGTGACTGTGAAAGCGGGACAGACGGCCTACATCAAGGTCCCCTTCAAGGCCAAGCCCCTTCCCAAAGTCACCTGGTTCAAGGATGGCATTGAAGTGACGGAAGAAGAGAGGCTCACCATGGAAAGGACTGGTGACCAAGCTCTGCTCACAATAACGGACTGTGTGAGGGAAGACAGTGGAACTGTCATGCTGAAGCTGAAAAATGACTGCGGAACAGCCATTGCTCATTTGTACCTCAATGTTATTGGTGAGTCCCAGGTATTGCAAGCTTCGGCTTACTCAGGAAGACTTGCCACTGCACCCAGTGGGACTTTCCTCCATTAGATCCAGTGCCAAGCACACTGAGGGTTTGTGAGGGTGTCCCCGGGAATCAAGTCTGCATGAATGCAGCACAAGCAGAGCCGGCCCTTTGCACACGTGACTTGCAGGCTTTGTATGTGCTGCAGAGAAAGGTGGCTGAGTTGCACAAGAGGATTCACGAGTGTTTGCTGACTGAATCTGAGCTTAGCTCCCTTCATAAGCCAGGGCCAAGCACAAGAAAGAAGTCTGATGAACAGAAGACAGCTGGATTCTGTAGGCTCATTGCAACCCTAATTGTACACAATGACAACCCATTATCAAGAAACCCAGAGTTCACAACCCAAGAAGAAACTATGGGTTTTCTTCCTGGATTCTTACTGGTTAGCAACACATAGCATAGTTCTGGGTTTGCATGTAAGGACAGCCTAGGATTCAATGACCTATACCCAGTCCCTACTTTGGGTTGTCATTATGTGCAAAGATGTGTTTAAGTGTCTGAAGCTAGAGAGCTTCAGTTGAGACCGGCAGGAAGAAATGTATTTCCACAACTACAGCAGAGTTCTGTATTGCTGGAGGGTGCGTTTTGCAGGGTTGCTGTGCGGTTGAAAGGGAGATGGGGACAATTACCCTAATGTAACAAATACAAATAAACAAGGTAAGAAGGCCTTGTGTATGGTCACAGAGTTAGCTCAGATGCCCTTATAGCTCCAGGCTCAGTCCCCAGCAGCTCCAGCAGGGGATGGCAAAAACCCTGCCTGAAAACCAGGAGAGCTGTTGCCAGTTAGCACTGGTAATACTGGTCTAGGCGCAGCGCCCTTCTGACTGTGTTCCTAGTTCATTAGGATTGTCCCCGTGGAGACTTGCACATGAAGTGCAGGCTTGTTCCTTGCAGGGCGCCTAATGGCACATGGAGTCCATGCACTTAAGCTCTGTGGCAGCCCATTGGACACATGTGGGGCCTCTGCAGTCCCACTCTTCTCCAGTCCACAGTCATGCACCCTGGAGCAGTTATCTGGCAGAGAAGTTGCATACCATGGTGACAAGTGGTGTAAGAATCATAGAATAGTAGAGTTGGAAGGGGCCATGAAGGCCATGGGGTCCAACCCTCTGCTTTTGCAGGACACCACGTTACACCATCCCAATCAAATGGCTGTCCAGTTCCTTTTTCAGTGCCTCTAGTGCGGGAGAGCCCACCACCTCTCTAGGCAGCTGGTTCCACTGTCATATTGCTCTGACAGTGAAGAAGCTCTTCCTGATGTCCAGCCTGAATCCAGGTTGCCACAACGTGAATTGGTTATTCTGGCTTTCACAAATATTTCTCACAAAGCATGACGTTATTCTCTCTCTGCTCCAGACAAACCAAAACCACCACAAGGAAAAGTGGAATTCCTGGAGAAATCAGGAAAGTGTATCAAGATGAAATGGAAAGCGCCCAAAGACAATGGAGGAAAGCAAGTGACCCACTTTATTATTGAACGGAAGATGGTTGGGAAAAGATCCTGGATCAAAGTTGGAGAAATTGACAGCAAGCAAACAACATTTGCCACGGATAAGGTAGAAGAAGGGAAAGCCTACCAGTTCCGAATCCTGGCTGTGAATTCGGAGGGTGCCAGTGAGCCCCTAGAGACAGAAGAAATCTTTGCTGGGGATCCCATAGGTAAGCATTGATTTTAGAGCAGATTGCCAACCAGTCACATTTTCTGTGAACTGAATCACGAAATTCTCCATTGTTCGGTTTAATTTTAGGCTGGCCTCATCTTGAAACAGGAGAACACTTGAGAATTATTTAAATGTGCTCTTATGGAGACTTAGCTCACAGGTTTTGGTTTGAATGTCAGGATTCAACTGATCATATTGTTTGTCAAGACAGAATATTTATAAACTAATTATTGCACCCCTTGCTCTGTTTGATCATGGTATCTGGTCCATATATTACAGGCTAATATGTTGAGAATTATTGGATTAGAGTTACATCTCCAATTACAGACTGCTCAGATTTCTATGAAATAGAACCCTGGAATGTTTTGATAATTCTAAGGTCACTAAGCGGACACAGGTACAGTGGTGCCTCGGCTCACGAACGCCTTGGTTCACAACCAAATTGGGTCACGAACAAAAATTTCATGAAAATTTTGACTTGGGTTGTGTAGTCCACATTGGGTAGCAACCAAGATCATGGCCATCTCCCCACCCCCACGAGTGGGAAGATGGCCAAGTTCACAGTTGCATTCATGCAGGGAAGACGTGCGTGATCATGGGCAAGCTTCTGAGGAATGACGGGTGCAATCTTGGCCATCTCTCCCCCCACCCCCAGCAACCAACACGATCATGGCCATCTCCCCCCCCGCCCCCCTGAGTGGGGAGAGGGCCACGATCACAGTTGCATTCATGCAGGGAAGACATAGAGGAGCTCACAACAGAAGAACTTGCTGAACTCCAGAGTGAGCAGCAGAAGGCACTTGCTGAGGAGGAGTCCACTGAGGAAGAGGAAGACAGGGAGGAGGTGAGCAGGGATGTGATACAACCCATTATGAAAAAATGGAATGAGTGCCAGGGTTTCTTTGAGAAGCACCACCCCAACATAACTGTAATGAACAGAGTGTTGAATCTGATGAATGATAATGTGGTCTCTCATTTCCGGAGGGTTATGCAGCACTGGAAAAAACAAGTGACTATAGACAGATTTTTCACCAAAATTGACCCTGCAGCTGAGAGACAAAGAAGAGAGGAAACCCCTGCAAGGGATCTCCCCAGTGTCCTTATGGAGGGGGACTCTCCCTCAAAACAATAACCTCCCCCCCACCTAGGTTAGCGTTCTCCACTGTACTGTACAGTACTTTGTTGTTCTCTGTCATTTTGTTTCAAATTTTTCTGATTACAAAAAATAGTTACAGAATGGATAAACCTTATTTACATTGAACCTTATGGGGAAATTTGACTTGGCTCCCGACCAAAAATTGGCTTGAACGGATTAAAAATTGGCACAAACTTTATCACGAATGGATTAAGTTTGTGAGCCAAGGTACCACTGTACTTGTATGTTCATAATTAAGGCACGAAAGTTAACTGTGGTCTTTCTTCAGGTGCTTTGTGGTCAGAATTGACTTTTCATTTAATTCCATATTCATGTTTACTTTTTCTCTTCTATCCAACATTAAGCTTGCACTTCAGAGAAAGCTGAAATTGCAAGGACCAAGCATCCCTAAGAGTGACTTTGGGGCTATTGGAGAAATAGGACGTGTTTGTGACTCACAGCTCCTGCTCCCATATTTCTTTGTAATCTCTGGACCTCCCCAACTCCAAGTAGAATATACCAATTTTCTCAGGTCTGCAGCTTATGTATCCCACTTTAAGGAAATTGCTGGTGTTCCTGTCCTGCGTGCCCTGGAAAAGCAAAGAAACGGGGTGAGAGATCCTTCTACTTCCATTTTTGTCCTGATTACTTTGTGATAAACTTTTTTCAGATCCTCCAGGACAAGCTTCTCAGCCTCAAGTTACTGATGTTACTAAAGATGCTATTACCATTACCTGGAATCCTCCAACTCAGGATGGTGGTGCCCCAGTGATGGGATACATTGTAGAAAGAAGGAAGAAAGGCAGCAACCTTTGGGTTCCAGTGTCCAAAGAACTAATCCAAGGTCAGCAATTTATTCTTCCTTCCTTCCAAACCCTACTTTATATATGAACACAGTAACAGTTCTTGAGAAGATAAGGCTTTGGGGTTGCAAAGACTGAGTTTTCCCCCTGAAAAATGCAGGAATATAAAAAGTACTGGATCGGGCCACAATCCATCTTATCAACTATAAGCCTAACATGCTGCTGTTGTCATGTGCTGCCAGGTCTCTTCAGCTTGGAACCATAGAACAGTAGAGTTGGAAGGGGCCAGAGGGCCAGCAGGTCCAACCCCCTGCACAGTGCAGGACTCCTAGTTAAAGCCTCCCTCTCAGATGGCTGTCCTGCTGCATCTTGAATGTCTCTAGTGTGGGAGAGCCCACGACCTCCCAGAATAATTGATTGCATTGTCCTCTATCCTACTGCAGTTTCCTTCAGGAAAATTTCCCTGATAGCTAGCTGGAATCTGGCTTCCTGTAGCTTGAGCCCATTATTCCATGTCCTGCACTCTGGGATGGTTGAGAAGAGATCCTTGCCTTCCTCTTTATGACAGCATTTGAGCACTTGTCGTGCTATCATATCTCCCTCAGTCTCCTCTTCTCGAGGCTAAACAGACCCAGTCCTTCCAATCTCTCCTCACAGGGCTTTGTTTTCACTGCCTGCATCATCCTTGTTGCCTTCCTCTGAATCTTGTCTACATCTTTCTTGAACCCTATGGCAACCCTATGAATGAAGGCCCTCCAGAATGTCTTATCCAGGACAGCCCTGCTCAGCTCTGGTAGATTTCAGGTTGTGGCTTCCTTTATAGAGATAATCCATCTCTTATTTGGTCTTCCTTTTCTTCTGCCTTCGACTTTCCCTAGCAAGAAGTATGACTTATGGATTCAGGATACCCATCTGTCAAATTCTGGTCTCACTTGAACATTAGGCAATCCTTTATCCTCTCAGTGCCCACAACTCAGAGCAAACCATTTTTCTCAACTTTTCAATGTAACCGACTGGGCTTTGGAGTTTTGGAAACCTTCTTAGTAAGATGTCACTACCTACTGTATTCCAAATATCTCATTTCCCATAAAAGTGCAGGATTTTGGTTATCTGAAGCTCACCTCTTGTTCTTTGCTGTCTTCCTGTTCTGTCACCTGTTTGGAAACCCAGCCTGCGTCTTAGCTAGAGACATATGCAAAGATCTACTTGAAGGCTTTTGGAATGTTACTAAAGAGATGAGAAGGTTTGCCGATTGTATAGTTTTGCTTTGTATGCTGCTTTGGTGCATTCTTTGCAGCTGAATGGTGCATAACAGTGTTAGAGTAAACAAATGAATACATTAATATTCATCCATTTATTTAAATTATTTGCAGGCCACCTTTTCAGTGGAACTCTCTAAAGGCCATGTGGAGAAATGAATCCATAAAACACAATAAAACAATTCTAAAGCAACAGTTTTACTTTATATGTTTATATTTACTTCTATATTGTAACATCTATACTGCCCAATAGCTGAAGCTCTCTTTTCAGAACCCAATAGCAAGAATAAACTATCAAAATAAATAAAAGAGAGTAGACACAAAGCAACACTATAAACAAATGCAAAGCGAAATGGTGGGTCACATTACTGAATTTGCTCCAGACTGCTCTTGAATAAGATGGTTTGTGCACAGTAGCTCTGTGTTTCTGGCTTTCACTGTCTTTAGAGTTCTCCCATGTCAGCCTGCTGATCATTTTAGGGCACAATTCCATGCATGTTTAGACAAGAAAAAGCCCTGCAACTCCCAGTATTCCCTAGCCAGCCATGTTGGAGGTTGTACGGCTTTTTAATGTCTAAACATGCATAGGACTGCACCCTTGATAATATGGAAATACTCCCAAGTTTTGAAGGACTGCAGAAAGCTTTCTATCAAAGTGCAGCTATGTTTGTGGCCACAAGGTGACAGCAAAAAGCCACAAATGTTCCATGATTTTTTAAAAAGCATGACTCCTTTTCTCCAGTTGATTCTAGAAGGCTGGATCATTTGATGGAGAAATGTGGGCTGATGTGTACAGACCGTGATTGCTCATGCTTGTTTAACTAGGAGAGCCACAACAGTGGGGCCACAGTTTGCCCATCCCTAGTCTAAAAGAGTTGTTCTAATGCCTAGTACTGTGGCTATCAAAAAGGGTGATTCTCCTGTTGGTTTTCCACTCTTTACGTGAGTTACAGCAAGTAGCACATATGCAAAATAACTATTAATTTGCATTACTGTAAGCCTTTACAGTAAAGCAAGCTTATCGAATTTCCTTAGGAAGTGAAGAAAGGCAGAATCGCAATACTCAAACCTTTTCCTGTTGGCAAACATCCTCTCCTATAAACTTGTCTTCTTTTCTTTTTAACCTTCTTTAGATACGAAATGCAAAGTGGACGGCTTGTTGGAAGATACAGAATATGAGTTCCAAGTCATAGCTGTGAACCGAGCAGGACCTGGTCATCCCAGCTGCGCCTCAAACTCAGTTATGGCAAAAGACCCCATCAGTACGTCTCCAACCCTAATCTCTTCTTCGTGCTCAGTGTGCACTTGTCAAGACACAAGGCTCTTATGTATGGTGAACTATGGGATAGGCAGCTCTTTTGTGTTATTGGACTATATTATTATTATTATTATTATTATTATTATTATTATTATTGTGATGATGATGATGTTATTGGTTACTATTAAAGGATGCAGGAAGAGCCCTGCTGGATCATATCAAGGGTCCAGCCATGCGGCATGCTGTTCACGCAGCTGCCCAGAGGAAACCCACCAGCAGGACACGAGTGCAGCAGCACCTCCTGCCCACCTTTCCCTCCAATGTGTGCGCACAGGCACAGGGCCGCTGATACTGGGGGGAGCATTTAGCCATGAGTCCTCTTCTAAAGCCATCCAGATGGGTATTCAGTCCTGCATCTCATGGAACTGAAGTCAATAGCTTCACTAAATTCTGTACGAAGAAGTGCTTCCTTTCCTCTGTCCTAAATCTCCCACTGATCACCTTCATGGGATGACCCTGGGAGAGGGAGAAAAGTACCTCCCTCGCCACTTTCTCCACCACACCATGCATAATTTTGCACAGCTCTTACAAGGCAAGTGAGTTCATGGGTGGAGGAATGTGCTTCTGAAAAGCAGTGCCACCTAAGGATGCAGGCACTCTGGCCATCACCGGCTTCACCCAAAGGGCTCTCCACTCCATGTGTCTGTTCATCCTCTGCAGTGCCTTTGCAAATGTTTGAGGTGCCTTGCAAATTCACAAGTCAGTATTTGTGTTTTGGGAGATGCAGGGTGGTCAGGTGAGGTCTGTGTGTGTGCGGTAGGGTAGGCCCCAAAGAGCATCACCAGAGCAATTCCATGTAAAGATGCACAGAATCAGCAGCAAGTCCCCAAAGTGTTTGTCCAGCATGGGATGTTTTCCAGGTGGTGTTGCTCTTTCAGGCACCCACATTTGAATGTGGGGTCCTGAACATTGCACCAGTTCAGAGAAAAGATTGTTGTGGTTCTGTGCTCCTGCACATCTCTTCCTGATCTTTGGTCTTATTCCAGAGCCTCCTGGACTGGTGAAGGGCTTGCATGTAGCTGATTCTTCCAACTCCAGCATTTCCTTGGCATGGCAGCCACCAGATGAGGGTGATCCCCCGTCCGGTTACATACTGGAGATGCGGGCTCAGGACACCAAGGAATGGTCCAAGTGCACCAAGATCCCAATCTCCGGAACCAACTACACAGTGGGGGGACTGCAGGAAAGACAGAAATATTTCTTCCGGATCCGAGCAGTGAATGAAGCTGGCGTAGGAGAACCAATTGAGTTGAAAAAAGGCGTTCTGGCCATGCCTCCTCCAGGTAATGCTGAGGGGGCTTGGCACACGTGGTCCGGGGTCCAATTTCACTGGGACTACAGGCTAAACTCTGTGCTACATTGAATGGGCGACAGGCTGCTGATTCCAAAAAGTGGTTTTCACTGTAGTGGAAGTGTGTGAGGCACCCCATCTTGAATGGGATCTCTATGTGTGGGGCTAGTTGGGTTTAAGCCGACTGCTTCCCCTGCTATCTAACTTTGCCACTTTGTGTGGGCTTCAGAAAGGGAGAAAAAGCTCCAAAGGCACTGCGGCTGTGTGGTGGAGCAAGAACGGATCTCACTCCTTATTCTCTGGGCAGACCAGAGGGAAGGAGGAGGAGGGGGAAGTCTTTCATCAGGAGGGAGGCAGGAAAGGGTGATTGCCCCCCCTCCTCCAAGTCACTATTGCTTTGCATGCGAGACGGATGGGTCATGCGCAGCCATTTGATTTATTTCAAAGAATGCAAATACTTTGTGCCCACGTAGGGCCATTTTAATAGGGGAAACCTGCTATATGCAGCCTTAGACCTCTGTAGGTGAACACTGGCTAATAAGTTTCTTTAAGAATGGCTGGTCTTCTCCTTTCAACCAGAAATTGGGGGTGTGGGGTGGATCTTGCTAAAGAGGCCCCCTCTTTTTCTTCCACCAAAGGAAGAAAGAGAAGATGCGAAGCAAGGTCGCGGGACTTGTTCTGTAGGTTCAGGTTACTGCCACCAGGATATGTTACAGTGCAAGCTTGGCACATGCCAGCTTAGCACACACTGCATGGAAAGCCCAAGGCAATGGAGCGAGTGCTTTGATGAAAGGAGTTGGAAGAAATGCAAGATGTGAGGGCAACAACAGGAATATTCTGCACAAGGCTTTTGTCATTCTTCACTTACATTTGCTTTAGATGATGCTGTGACCTTTCAGTTTTGCCACATCACTTTTGTGGGGATTTGGGAAGCAGGGAGGATGTGGGTTCTTTACCCCCAAACGAGCAAAATACGTCCCCATCCTTATTCTGCTCTGCCGCAGTACCACCGAAAGGTTGCTGTTGGAAGTACAGAGCGGCAGGAAGATAGGCATGTATAGGGATCTGCAAATTATCTAAAAGTAAGTGCAGCTGGTTAACAGCCTCACCTAAGAAGTTTGGGGAACGTATTGCGTACCATGTGACTGAGCCAGGCATGAAATGAGGTGGGGGGATCCCTGTGGAGAATAACTCCAAGATCGGCTTGGGGGTTCCATGGTTCCCATCTCCAACAGCCATATTTCAGTTCTCCCTTTGATATAAGGGACTGGCAGAATGAGATCGGGAAATAGGCATTCTCTCCAAATTAGCAGAACTACTGGACAGGACAGAACTCTTCTGGTAGTGTTGTTGCCAGCCTTCCTGCAGAGACCCAAGGACAGGGGCTGATGGAGCGACCTTGGCAAAGCTATGCCAGGATGGTCTGCTGACTAAACACCCGGATAGGATCCTGTCTGAGAATTCCCATGGCTGCTGCCTTGAGTTCCATGGGGCAAAGGATGGAGGGATGGAGAGAGAGGCAAACCAAGCCTGAATGTGGAGGCAGCAGCTGCTGCATGCTTAGGGCCAAACCAGAGTTTCCACTTTTGAATGTCTGATGTTCTGAATTTGATGGAAACAAGGATGGAACAGGGGAAGGGCCTGGAGGCTATCTTTGCCCTACAGGTCCTCCTCAAAAAACCTGCTCCTTCCACCATCTGTTTTCTCCCCAGAGGGGAAAATGTACATGGACCATATATTTCCCCTCTAGATAGGAAAGCAGTTGGAAGTGGAAAGTTTACTTAGAAACAATGGCGCACAAGGAAAGAGTTAAGCACCCTCTGTCAGCTACGTGCTGATTAGATTCAGAGCCTGCCTTGATGGCACCATTAAAAGAAAGAGAGGAAACCTGCTGTGAAAGTGTTTATGACTAGAGACATCCAAAAAGAAACTGGGCAGCCAGCTGAGTGGGATGGTGCAAATTGGTGTCCTGCAACACCAGGGGGTTGGACTCGAAGGCCTTCATGGCCCCTTCCAACTCAACTATTCGGTGATTCTATGATCTCCTGCACTGTATCTTGTTTGGCCTTTTGCTCCTTGCGCCTAATGCCTGCTCTTGGGCATGGGGCAGAAGAATCAGTGTACCTACAGCCTCTCCTCCAGAGCTACGGGGAGCCGACAGGAAGCAGTGCCCCCAGTGATGACTGTCTGACAGGTTGTCTGACTTACTTATTTCCATGCAGCTGCTCCAAAGTTTGATCTGAGCGTCAGGCTGAAGAGCCACATGGTCGTGCGTGCTGGGACTGCCCTCTGTATTCACGCCTCCTTCACCGTAAGTCATCCTTTGCCCTTTGTAGCAAGCTTTTCAAAAGGGAAACAATGCCCTGCATGTTTGTTCCACACTTAAGACTTCCTATTCTGCCTTCTTCACCACCAGCAGCCCATGGCATCCTTTCTCCATTGAGGTATCAGCCCTGATTTGCAGTTACATGGAGGGTGAGCATCCTTCCTTCCAAAGCAGAGCACTGATGGTACACAGGGTGATGTAGTGCTGAGTGTGGGACTGGAATTCAGGAGACCTGGGTTCAAATCAGGGACCAGTCATTGACTCTCTGCCTAGCCTACCTCAGAGGTTTCTTGTGAAGATAATGGAGAGGAGGAGGACCATCCAAGCTGTTTGGGTTCTCTGAGAGAAGGAAAAAGATAGACTTGGAGGTCTGGAAGGAATAAATTAGACACCCATGCACAAAGGTGGCTCCCTTCCATTGAAGTTTTGCTGCAGGCATTTCAGAGGCCCACCTGCTAGCCCTTTTCCCTTAACTCAGGGGTGAGCTGCAAGACTCTCCACCTGATTTCAAAAGACCTCTGCAAGCAATCAGTTCTGATCTCCAACAGTCTGCCAGGTGGGAAGAAAGAAGGGAGAGAAAAGGTGGTCTGAAGGAGAGACGGGAGGGGGGGAGAGGAGGGGGTGTGCACACATGAGAGCAGAAAGAAGGAGGATGGTTCTGAGCATGGCTGACTTTGTCCTGTCCACACAGGCATGTGGGCCCAGAGCCATGGTCCCCGTGGTCCAGAGCCATGGCCCTCAGCAGAAGAAAGCTTCCCCACCTGTGCTTTGAAGCTGCCGCTACAGCTGAGGAGGCAACGGGCATGGCTTCTCCTGCCCAACTCTTTTCATCTGCTCCTTCCTCATAGGCAGCAGAATTCCTGAGAGGCCAGAGAGCCAGAACGGGAGAAGAGTCCCGTTAAAGCAGCAGCACTGCCTGCTTGGTTTCAACATGCTTTGCTTCCGGCAGGGCTCCCCTCCGCCAGCGGTGGTGTGGCAGAAGGACGGGATTCCCACCAGAGGGAAAGAGAGCATCACCAAGGGCAAGAACCACTCCCAGTTCCTCATCCACAGCACCAGGCGCTCCGATTCTGGGCTCTACCGGATCGTGCTGAGCAATGACTATGGAGAGGCCCACTATGACATCCACGTGCAGGTGACAGGTAGGGGAGGTGCCGGAATGGCTTGGCATGCGAGGAGTTTGTGGTAAATGTGAGGAGGAGGAGGAGGAGGAGGAGGAGGAGACGACGACGACGACGACGACGACGACTAATTTTATTTCTATAGCGTCCAGTAACTGAAGCTTTCTGGACAGTTTGCAACAGCAAATAAAATACTGTGTAAATACAGACAACAATGAAAAATATCTTTAAAAGCACAATACAAAAATTCAAAACCAAATTTAAATTAATTAGAAAAGCTATAATAAGCTTCCACAAATTAAATCATAGAACCTGTTTAAGCTGCTGACAGAAGCCCCAATATCATACTGAACTAATTAAATGTCCTGTAGCAGAGGACAGACTTAACCAGGAGTTTAAAAGATATTTAAGTTGGCACCGGGCAGGCAGGTCTCAGTGAGGAGCTTGTTCCATAATGGGCAGGGGGGCACCACTGCAAAGGCCCTGCTCTTTGTTGCCACAAGCCAAGCCTCCCCCAGAGGTGGAAGTTGGAGGCGGGTCCCAGTTATTGTAGATTGCAGCTCGTGGAAGCATTCCTCTACGCTCTGTGGTCCCAAGCCATGAAGGACTTTATTTTAGAATGAAGACCTTGAATTGGGCTCAGAAGCATAAAGGCAGCCAATGGGAGCAGGCCAGGATTGATGTTGTATGTCCGGACTGTCTGGCTCTGAATATTCATCTGGCTACCGTATTTTGTACAAGTTACAATTTCTGAGCCGTCTTCAAGGGCAACCCCTTGTAGAGTTCATTGCAGCAATCTAGTTTACAGTTTACCAGAGCATAGAGTACTGAAACCAAGCTTTCCCTACCCAGGCAAGGGTGCAGCCGGGCCACCAGCTTCCGCTAGTAGAAGGCACTCTGTGCCACCTGGGCCCCAAGTGACAAAGCTGGCTCAAGGAGCACCCCAGGCTACAGACCTGCTCCTTCAAGGGAGTGCAAGGCCATCTAGAACAGGCCGAATTCTCTCCATCCAAGTTGGAAGAACAGTACTTCGGTCTGTCCAGACTGAGTTTCAGTTTGTCGGTCCTTATCCAGTCCTTTGTTGCAGCTGGGCACTGGTTTAACCTCACCTGCTGAAGATGAAAAGGAGAAATGTCGATGTTAGAAAGCATGGGGAACAAGATCTGCCCTCAAGATCAGCATGATGTTATCAATGTATCGATCAAATCTGCAGACATTTGTATATATGTAAAAATAATAGTTAAGCAGATGAAGAAAACATGGCCTTGTTTTTGGATGATGGAGGATGTACCATATTAGAAGAGGTGGTGTGTGTGTGAGAGCGAGCGAGCGAGCAAGCTGGTCTGCGTTATCTATAAGCGCTTACATTGTCATGTTGAATCTACTGCATAAATAATCAAAGGCACACTTTTAATCCAACAAAACTTTGCAGCTGGTATTAGTTTTTCCTAAGCGTGTATTTGTCTTCCCTGAACGTAACGTGTGGAATGGCCTTAAGAAAGTGGCACCAAAATGAGGCAGTTGGTGCATCACAATTAAGTCCTAGGAAATCTAAACTCTAAAAGTGTTTGACCACAACATTGTTCCATGCCAAAAGAAGGAAGCAATCCAGTAGTTTATCAGTGAACTGGGTGTTTGCTTTTCTCCTCTTGAACTATTGCTCTGTGCTTTCTGCTTTTATGATATTGTGCAGCAAACACTAAGGACAGCATTTCCATTAATGTGCCACAGGACTAGAGGTGGATAAGGAACAGGTGCCAGTGAGTAATAATTAGTTGAACCAGTTGATCCAATGTTCTGGTAAAAGCTTCTGATGTGAAAAGTAGTTAACCACGTCATATAGTACGGGTGCCTTTGCTGTGGGAAAGAAATAAATGGACTATTTGCTGCCCCATACAGCTTAGGTTTTCAAGGTAAAGCCCCACCTGTATACTGGGGACATATGTTCTGGTCTGGCCTTCCAGGAAGAGAGATTGCGGCCTGAACAAAGGATGAATGATACTCCATGGCTCATGCTCAATATCTCTGCCTTAGATTTCCCAAGGCCGCCAACCAACCTGCACCTGTTTGAGGAGGTGCCCAATACCGTCACCCTGAAATGGGATCACTCCCCGGACGTGAAGGAGGATGGGGGCGCCCATTATGTCATCTTGAAACGCGACACGAGCACCGCCACTTGGTTCACAGCAGCAGAAAAGGTGTACAGCAACAAGTACACAGTCACTGGCCTGCTTCCTGGCAGGAAATACTTCTTCCGAGTCATTGCCCGAAACGACATTGGTGACAGCGACCCTCTGGATTCAAAAGATTCCTGGCATATCAACAAAGACAGAGGTGAGCGTGGCTGTCAAACGTGTAGCAGGGCGGCAGGTTTATGCTCAGGTGACTGGAGAGGGCAGAGGCTTTTAAGACACTCAAAGGCAGAGATTGCTGATGTTCTTAGCTCCCTGGTCTGCATTCAGAAAGGATCTGGTTTGTCATGCATGGGCATATTATGCAGAGTAATTTGTCCAGGAAGGCCTTCTCCAAGCCAGAACATTGAATGGAGTTTTGCAAATGCACAGTTGAGGATTCAGGCTGACATGGTGATTTGTGAGTTGCATGGTAGTCCCTAACTCTTAGTGAAACTTGTATAGGAACTGCTGTTCATCACAGAAACAACATGAACTGCAGAGCCAGCTGCTTTGTGTGAGTATGGACAAAAGTTGTGGAGCATGTGCTTTGCAGGCACAAAGCTCTGGGCTCAGTCCCCAGCATCTCTCAGAGGTGCAGAAAAAAGCCCTGAATGAAAGCCCAAAGAGCCATTGCTGCCAGTCTGTGTTGGCAATACTGAGCTAGATGGAGCAGTGGTTTGACTCAGTACCAGGCAGGTTTCTTGGCTCCTGTGAGCTCTTGGTTAAACTCTGGTTGCTGTGAAGCTTGTCCTGGGACCATTTGTCCTAACAACCTTTTCTCTGTGGAGTCAAATCACTATTTAAACAGTTCTTTCCATTGCTCCTTGCAAATACCTTACGTGGTTTGGCTTCTCATCTAGATCTACAAGCACTCTTGTCCGTGTGTATTTTTCCTAAGCTTCTGGTTTTCTTTGCTTCTGGTATTGGAAGAGTGAAAGACTTGCGAGCAGGAGGAAGTTTGAGTGCTTAAAATACAAAAACAAAGCACAAACCTGCAAAACAATTTACTAATTAGGGAGGGATGAGTAGAGATGTGAGATACAGTCACAGGTCTATTTAGACCTAAGTAGACACATACAAGCAGCAGGCAATAATTCTACTTTCAAGTTACTCTCGTGGGGGACTTCAGTTATTGCCAACTTTCATGTCCTTTTGGGAGTTCTGTTTTATAGGCTTTCATTATCTTATCATCAGAAGGAGAAACAATATTTTCCCTGCCTTTCATTTGACTTGAAGTTGCTCAGAGGATGGAGTATTTTAAAAGCTGCCCTTGAAGCTGAAGGCCCCATGCAGCTATTATGACTCTCTGCTAGCCACAGACCTGCCCTCCAAGAATTTTCTTTGAAAACCACTTAGACTTAGACAGGGGTCACTGCCTCACCCTACATTACTCTGATGCATGCCACACTTTAATTGAATTTAAAACATCCCATACTTGAATGACGTGTTGTATAGAGGAGTGTTTTCTTCCTTCTGTCCTGAATCTACTGCTAATCTCTCTCACAAGGTGGCCCTGTGCTTCCCTCCACCAGACCACATCTCTTAAATGCCCATTTAATGGCAGTGCCGGCCTGAGGGAGAGTGGCAAAGGCATCGCCCGCCCACCTAAGTCCAGGTGAATCACCAGTGGTGTGGGGGAATCAGGGCCTGCAGGGATGCAGCACAGACTCTTATGGATTGGCAGGGATGTGGTCCTCCTCTGCCCTCCCAACCCCGGCTTCCCTCTGAGCTTGGCCATGATCCCCACACGGTGGGAAGGAGATGCATTTGTCCAGACGCAATGGCAGCGTTTCCATTAATGTGCCATAGGACCAGAAGTGGATGAGGAACAGGTGCCAGTGTGTAGGCCTGCGGTAGTGCTGTGCCCGAACGGTAATTCAAACTTCTTCCCTTTACAAAAGACTGAACAGCTGTGGTTACAACAGCTGGGACCATTTCCCTGAGATAACAGGTGATCAAGGGGAGGCAAGATAGAGGTGCTCACATGAGACATGGTGGGGAGGAAGTGGAGAGGAATTAAAATGGAGAGGGAGGAAAGCAATACTAAAACTGGGGTCCATGAAGCTGCCTGGCAGGAGATTCAGGACAGATGAAAGGACGCATTTCTTCATGTGGTGCATTGTTTAAATGTGCCATTCACTGCCACCGGAAATAGTGACAGCCACCCATTTGGACAGCTTTAAAAGAGGACTGGGTGAATTCATGGAGGCTATCAGTGGCTGGTAGCCCTGGTGGGTCTATGTGACCTCTGGGATCAGTGTACCAATGCACACCAGCTACTGGGGATGCTGGGCAGGAGGTGGCTTGTGGGTTTTCAGCAGGCGGCTGGTTTGCCACTGTGGGAAGAGCTTGGGCTTGATGGACCCTGGGACTGATCAAGCAGGGCCTTTGTTAAGATCTTAGAACTGCTAGGAACAGTTTGCTGACATGTGAGTTAGTCCACAGCATCAAAGTCGTAAGAGCCTGGCCATGGGAATAAGTCCATGGCAATGCCAAGCACGCAAGATTCGTACACAGCTAAATATGGGCAACCAGCTGGTGTAAGCATCTTTTGGAGCCAGTCCTGGTTTTGTGTCAACAGAACTTTTCCATGCCAAGATGAAGGAATATCATGAGCGCGACTGGCGCCACGCGCCCCAGTTCATCACCCCACTCAAGAACCATGCGGTGCGCCGGGGCCATGATTGTACCATGAGCTGCGCCTTCTTGGGGAACCCCCGCCCTGTGGTGACCCTCTACAAGGGCAACGTCAACATCACGGCCAACTCCAAATTCTGGTACAATTCAACCAGCGGCGTCTGCACCCTGATGATCCCCACCTGTGGTGCCAAAGACAGTGGGGAATACTCCATATTAATCGAGAATGAGCTTGGGCAAGAAAAATGCAGCTGCAACTTGACAGTGTATGGTAAGTTGGGTTCCTCCCTTGGCCAGGGCTGACGTTCCAGGTACCAACGCATTAAGGGTCACCATATTGGGCATGAAATAGTATTAAAAGTAAAAAAAAAAAAAAAAGCAGGAATCACAATGTAAAGGACTAAATCTACCCAAGCTGGCAGTTTCATGTAGTAGCCCTAGAAAAAATATGGAGCTTTGTCTTCTTGTTTTCTGTTGCAGAGAGATGGCTTGAATTACACTGAGAAATCTGTCTTCCATCATTTTAGGATTTGTCTACACTGCAGTGACATGGACAGTTGTGTCACTATCCCATCAAGCAGAGGTGGTGCCCTCTGGGGGCGTGGGGACCAATTTTGCCCCAACAGAACCCACAGAATGCCCTACGCTTGCCCCTGCTGCCACACCATCAAATTTACTGCCAAAATTCAATGCACTGGCAGAAAGGGGCCTATTTAGCTCTGTTCTCTCTTCTAAAACAACCGCTTTTGCCACTGCTGCCATGCCACCTAATTTCAGTGGCAAAGTGCCAGCCTCTTGCCAACAGGGCAGCCAAAACTTTGGCCGCAGTGGCTGGTAGGAGCACAGCACAGAAAGGCAGGAGGCTGCATGCCACCCACGGGCTGTGTTTCACCCCCTCCTAGCATAAAGGGACCACCACCTCTACTGACACTTACGTTCAAAATGCACTTAGCATCAGCAGCATGGTAGCTATTGAAGAGAGATGGAATTGAGGGGCCTTCCCCAGCCTGGTGCCTGCCAGATATGTTGGACTGCAGCTCCCCAGCCAGCGCAAGACTTTGAGAGTATCTAAATAGTTGAGTAAATGAGACAGGAGGTATTTCCAGGTGTGGCTTTCAGTTGTGCGATTGCCCCGCAAATGTTTCAGGAGGTCCAGATGACATTGCCTTCCATTAGTAATCCTCCCAAGTTTTCCCTCTGCAGTGTGGCAGGAAAGGATGATCTAGATGAGTTTGGTCAGGGCAAAGCCTTCAACTCCCTGCCTTCTTCCATGTTCCGGTCTAACTCAAGGCCTCCCCATGCTGGCTACATATGGGGGAAAAAATCAGGCATACCATGACTAAAAACTTGAGCGATGCGATGCCTGGTGCTCAGAGGTGAAGTCAAAGGCTTCCCAGGACAGGTGGGATCTGAGCAGAGTACTGAAGGGAGAGGCAGTACACGTTCCCCGAGAAAGAAGCCGAGGCAGCTCACTGCAGCTTCCCGCCCTCTTTTCTGTGGCTGGCATTGCATTCTGTCCATCTCCTCTCTGCCTCCTTGTGTCTGTGCAGTGAAGTAAAAACGATGCTTTCACGGTTTAGAAGGACCATGATAAAGCACCTAGAGTAGGCATCTCTATGTGGTTGGATCTGCCAGCTTTATTTTTGCATCTGTGGCCATTGCTTCAGCACTGCTGGCCAACAACAGAGAACACCAGCCTGCAAAACGAAGTACCTCCATCTGCATCCTGACTTCATTTCAAAGAATTCAGGCAATGAAACTGCCTCCCTGCAGTCCATGAAATTTCTGAAAGAAGCAGGAGTGTAGTTTCAGAGGTAGTCAAATAACCTAATTGCAGGGTGATCTACTGCGCCACAGCTATGAAACCAACAGACGTCCACTGAACCTACAGTGCAACTCCTACCTGAATGCTCAGTTTCATTGAGTACAATGGGACTTACTCCCATGGAAGTGTGTATACTGGATTACAGCCTTAAGGGATTAACAGACAAGCTGATGGTGAATCACTGTACAATACTAGCTTCAACAAGACCAATTATCCATCATCATAAGCACACGCTGAGATATGGCATCTCTGTTTTGCATGCCACATCCAGCTCCAAAACATGCATTCTAAAATCCTACATATTGGAACACTGAAGTCCGTTTTCGGTCTACCTGGACTCTCCTTCACATGTACTGCAGTGGTCCAACCTCAGCTGCCAATCAGACACCAGGTGAAAATAATCTTGTCTCCTCCTGCCCCCAACCATAGCAGAAAAGGTTACAGAAGGAAAAGGTGAGAATGGGCAGCTGACTGCATCAGGTTGCTCCCTTGGTAGGATTGTCACATTCAGCCTGTGCCCTTCCCCGATGCCACATTGGCCAATGCTGCCGTGCCCTGATCGGAAAAGCCATTCGTGGCATTTTGCAGCTTCCATGCAGATCTTAGCCAGGGACTGAATTTCAGAGGAGCCAAACAAGGCCTGGTTCCTGCTACTTTTTGAGCTTGACTGCTTAGCTACTGTGTTAAGAAGGATTCGGGGGCATGATTTGTCTAGAACCAGAGAGAGCCCGGGAGTGTGGTTTGTAAAGGATATTAAGGGCTCCCCACCTTCCTTCCCCATGTCCCAGTTTGAACACTGCACCCCGTCCTGATTTGTTTCAGCTTGCAAGCCTGCCTAGAATTTTCCAAGAGTGCAATAACAAACGATGCATAATTTGTTAATATTTTATTACCTTTCTCTTTTAGACAAAGATGATAAAAGCCTTTTGGATTCGGTGATGGAGAGCCTGCCAAAGTCAAAACACCTCATGTGAAGAACAGAGTTGGAAGCAAGTGTTAAATTCGGCTCAGTGTTCAGAATAATCCAAACGTGCTGAGTTTGCTGTGCCTGGCTTAAACACTCTCTGGTTGTATTATCACTTGTTGCCATTCAGTTACCTGAGGCAGTGATACATAATCCCTCAGCTACGCATCTTTCATAGGGACAGCAGTTTTGCCTTTAAAGCTTTGAGAAGTAGTAAGTAATAATATTGCCACTGCTTAAGAGACCGTACCTTGGAAATAAAAGACAGCCCCATTTAGCTGTTTGTTCTACTGGCTCTCCTGCACTGCCCACTTCTCTTCTACCTTCCCTGTAACTCACACCCTTGGTATTAATGCCAATGAATGCAAAATGGGACCCAGCCTCCTTCTAGGGTGCTAAAGAAGAGCACTAAATGTTGTTACCCCCACTGGAGTGCTGGAGGGGTGACCAATTACAAGAGTAACAGCAGAATTTTCGTATAAACTTGCAAAAGCACATAAGGGGATAGATTCTAAGGGCCTGCAGCAGGATATTTGCATATGAAATAGCCTTTCCTCAAGATGTCAACTTCCTAAAATCACTATCTAATGTCAGTATGGAACACAGACATAAAATGCACCTACAAATCAGGAAGAATACATCAAAAACAACAGCAGCAAAGTTCAGTGAATGTCACTAAGTGTCCATGTACCTCATTACAATTTTTACCTGGCCCCTACAAAATTGACAGATAATGGGACAGTAACCCACTGAAAGGCCTCTGGACAGGAAAGGCCCTGCCCATGGTTGCCCTCTCAGGAAGCCTCTGATAGAGAGGCTGGCAGGCAAATTCATACGGGAGCTGTTTGGGAGACAGGGTTTCTGGCATCCTTGTTCTTAAACCTGTTTGACATATTCCCTTCTTTCATAACTCTACCATGACTGACTTCTAAATTGATAGCAATTAAAACTAATCCAGAGAACTCTCTTGGTTTCCACCTTCCTGAACCAACAGGTTACTAGCATCTTTGTTCTTAAACCTGCTTGACACATTTCCTTCTTTTCTCTAACCATCCCCACACTAAGCTTTAGAATAAGAACAAATTTGTACGTGATGTTTATGTACATATCACATGCTATTACAGATATAAAAGCAAAGGGCGTGGGCACGTTAAGAAACTGCTCTGGGCACCGCCGCAAAATGGCTGCCATAGTGGGCATGACAAAGCAAAAACAACCTGCCCTGAAGTCTGAGTTCAAGGCAAAGGTGAGGTCTAAGACCCAGCACCCAGAACAGGGTATTTGAACCCACAGTTTTCAGCATCTACAGAAAGCTACTTCACAGCAATCCTAGTGGCCAGTAAGAAAATACGTTATTAAAAAAAAGAGGGAAGAGGACGTCATCTTGATAGGTGCCAAGAATGGGCATATTGGTGCCCATATTGCCTCTCTCAGCAGTACAGCATTGATTCACTAAATCAAAAGAGGCTCTCACACTTGATACTTGCAACCATGTATATTTAATGGGCGTGCCACAAAATGGGAAAGGAGACAAGGAAGAAGAAAGTAAGCCAGTTGGGAGACATGACTGTTGCATTCTGGGAAGGCAGAAGTCTTATGGCAGCTAAGCCCTGCTTTGCTCATCCTGCTCTCTGAGGCAGCCGGGCAGAGTGGCTGCCCAGGGAGAGAGATCGGGGGTGACAAGGCAGCCAAATGGTCCCAGCTGCAATGGATGGTTCACTGAAGATGGAACTGAAATGACCAGTGACAGTTTGGGTATGGGGGAAACCTGATACGTAGCAGCAGAGGCATGCAAGTGGGAGGAAGCTGCGGGCCTTCCAGACACCGCTAACCTTCTCCAACCCTCAGTGACTAGTGATATTAGCATTTAATCAGGTGAGAGGAAAACAAAGATCCTGAATGGCAGTAACTTCTTGTGGTTCTGTTTGTTTAGCTTCTCCTGGGACTACACTGCATGTTCTTACTCTTGGTCCACGCAAATTCAAGTTAGAGCAAGCTTTACACACCAATGTTTCACACAGCCAACTGAAAAAGTCTAGCTCTATCCTGTTACTGTGAGCCACTCCACCAAGAAATTGAGCCACTCAGCAAAGAAATGCAGACTTAGAAGGGTCTTTAGAGGTCATCAAGTCCAACCCCTACTCAATTTGGGATCCGCAATGCAGGATGCAACTGCAGCATCTCTGAAAAATGGCTGTCCAGCTTAAATCTTTCTGGCAAAGGTGAGCCCACCATCTCTCAGCACACTCTTTTCCACTGTTCTCCTGAAGTTTGGCCAAAATCTGTTCCCCTGCCATTTCCAGCCACTGGACTTAGTTGTGGCCTCTTCGGCAGCAGAGAACAAGCCTGCTCCCTCTTCCCCATGACAGCCCTTCAGATATTCAAAGACCACCACCATGCTCCCTGCAAACCTTCTCTCTTCCAGGCTAAACAAATCCATCTCTTTCACCCATTCCTCATTCCTTGGTTTCCACATACCAGCTGGGCTTCTCCTGCCTACGGTTTAAGCAGTGCTATAACACAACCAGTTGGCAATAACAAATCCACTACACATTTTGACCAGTTAAATTTTTATTGTTTAGTATCATTATATGCATATAAGTGTATTACATTAAAAAGAAAAAATACATACAGCAGAACATTCGCTAAACCAAAAAGAAAAAACTGAACATGAAAGATACAACATTTGCATTGTATTTGCATCTGAACATACTAATTTAAGTTACACTGCAGTTACCTGGGATCCATGGTCCACATTTTTTTTTAGTGTAAACTGTTGGGGGCAGATACAAAGGAAATCTTTGCATGTTTGTGCAGTACTGAAAACATTGTTGGTTAGTAGAAATAATAATAATTTGCAACTCACCAGATGAGATTTTATAGTCTAGCTTGACTGCTACCAGGAAATATTGATCATCTGTCCAAAATTCTGTTTGGAGAGGTGCTCTGGGTGAATGGTACGAATGACTCTCATGCAATCTCTTTTGCATCATCAGACACAAATAGGGAAAAACAAAATGGGGGGAAATCGCTGTTATCCAAACTATTATTCACCATCTTCTCAGTCCCAGAGACCTGCAGCTTTATGATCCTAAGGCAGCTTTTCATTCTGGCCTTTCAATGCTTTATATATTTCAAGGCCACTGAAACAACAAAGATGTAGGGCCATCAGCCAGTAGGTGTTGCAGGACACACTTGCTTTTGCATCCAGCCCGCTTCGAAACACTCACTCTGGCCATGGGGCAGTTGGCTCTCAACTTGCTTTGAGGAGCTGCACAGTCAAGGCTTTTTTTGGGTGTGCCCTGGTTTATTTATTTATTTGAAGCATTTTTATGCCGCCCCCATCACAGAAAGCCTCGGGGCGGCTTACAAAGAGGATAAACAAACATAGAATAGACATTTAAAATTCAAAGCATCTCGGCAATAGTTTAAAACCAATAAATAAAAACAATTAACAATTAAAATATCGTTTAAATAAAAAGGTCTTGGCCTGGTGCCAAAAAACAAATAATGACGGCGCCAGGTGGACCTCTCTGGGGAGCGCATTCCATAGGTGGGGCGCCACTGCAGAGAATGCCCTCCTCCGGGTACTCGCCCTCCTAATATCCTTCACAGAGGGCTCCCGGAGGAGGGCCTCCTCCAGCGATCTCAGGGGGCAGGAGGGCATATATGGACACAAGTGCTCCTTTAGATAACCAGGACCCAAGCCGTTGAGGGCTTTATAGGTGATAACCAACACCTTGAATTGGGCCCGGACTTCAATGGGGAGCCAGTGAAGCTGACGGAGAACTGGGGTTATATGAGAACAACGCCCAGTCCCCGTCAGCAGCCTGGCAGTTCTATTCTGCACCAATTGAAGTATCCGGACCGTCTTCAAGGGCAGCCCCATGCAGATCGCATTACAGAAGTCCAATTGGAAAGTTACCAATGCATGTGTCACAGTCACCAGGCAGTCGTTCTCCAGGCAGGGACGCAGCTGATGGATCAGCCGAAGCTGAAGGAAGGTTCCCACTGGGAGATTAGCAGGAGGTATCCTCAGGAAGGGCAGGGGCATTTCTGATTAGCTGGGAGGTTGTGGAAGTTGCCACTTTAGAAAAGCCCACCCTGCCAGTTTCAGGCAAATGTTCCAAAGCACACTCTCTAGACAGCCTTCCTCCATGCATGTGACTTGGGGGAAAGTCCCATGCACATGTCAACTGGAAAACTCTGCTGTTGCTCACAGGAGCTCTAATCTGCAGCATTAGCCAGCACAGTGATGCCACACTGCTGCAGAACGCCAGAAAAGAGGGAGCAGAGCAAGGGGTAACAGGGGATGTGGGCCTGGGCAGGGGGGTTGTAATAGGACATCTGCTGCTCTCTAGTTGACTCAACATGATCAGTCTGCAGCCCTGGGCACAGAATGCTTGCATAAACTTCAATGCACTGCCAAGTGGGTAGGCATCTGTGAACTCTTGCACTAATGCTACAGCAGAGAACTAGAACCATCACATTTAATGCCTCCCACCAGCTGGGGCAGAAGCCTGAAAAGAGGGGAAATACTTTAGGCAGAAGCTGTTCTCATACAGGTGGGTGATTGTCTCACATTTGATGAACATGCTCATAAGAATAATTCAGTTTAAGGACTATTATGGCCCAGAAGAGAAGCACAGCTCAGTTGCATCTTTGCTAGAAACAATACATTCAACAGCACCTGTCTTTTTCACCAGTATTGGCTATATTATTCTGAAAGCACTATTGATTCTGAGAGTGGACTCCTCTGCACAGTTTACTGTTGCAAGCCAATGCTTGAGTTGAAATTAAATGTGGTCAGCACCCACCCTCCAGAGTGCATACAGAAACAGCTGGGAGGTGATGAAAAAGCCACTAGAAATTGTGTATTTGTATCATGCTGGGACTGTAAACATTACTGCAAAAATGCAACCTAAGTTAAACCTGTATGGAAGAACTTTTGGATTCCCTGCATTATGCACGCTCATCAAACCTAGGACTGGTTGTAGCTCTCTGCTAGAT